CGACCATCCCAGTACCTTGGAATGGCGCAATCAACCACCCCAACCTTACGATGCCAATAACGTACACCATGCTACCCCCGACAGGTCAGATGTTGCCACCAACGCCGGGTGCACTTGGAGAAAACCTCATACAAGGAACACTGCAACAGGGATTCACCCAGGTTTATCAAACGTGGTCTGGAACGCCGGGGTACTACGTTATGGCGCCAACCCCGCAAATGATGATGACCCCCCAAATTCCAGTCGTGGAGCAGCATCAGCCAGTGGCCCAACCACCCCAAGAACAAATGCCCCCGCAACCCCAAAATCACGTCTTGGATGAAATAAAAGTGGTGGACCGATCTCGAAGGCACAATATTGAAGGATGTGGAAACCACCAACAACCCGACGTCACTCAACGAGAAAGTGTTTTTGACCGAATTCGAAAAAGTGTCAAGTCCCGGTTGGGACCCCAAGAAAACCGAAACCACTCAGGGTCGAAGTCTCGAAGAACTACCGAGCGGAGGAAAATAACATCATAAGAGCAGTCGGTCGATCTATCAACTATTCAACTTACCGTCGGCCGGTCTACTACTTGTAGAAATTTTTGTCCGGCCGATAGCTTGATAAAGTTCGTCCATCGACATTAAAATCGATTTTAAACGAGTGACAACTCTCGACTCTTTTTGTAAAAACTTTGACCGGTCGAGCATTCTCGGTTCTAAATGTAATAATTTAGCCCGGTTGATAGCAAAAATAATAATAATAAATCTCGATCGGTCCGTTTGAGGTTTTGTCCGGTTGAGTTATCCCGGCCCTACCTGCACGATTTTGTCCGGTTGAGTTTGTAATTAAATTCACTTGTTTCCCGGCCCTATCGTTTGAGGTTTTGCCCGGTCGAATTATCCCGGCCCTACCTGCACGATTTTGTCCGGTTGAGTTTGTGATTAAGTTCACTTGTTTCCCGGCCCTATCGTTTGAGGTTTTGCCCGGTCGAGTTATCCCGGCCCTACCTGCACGATTTTGTCCGGTTGAGTTTGTGATTAAATTCACTTGTTTCCCGGCCCTATCGTTTGAGGTTTTGCCCGGTCGAATTATCCCGGCCCTACCTGCACGATTTTGTCCGATTGAGTTTGTGATTAAGTTCACTTGTTTCCCGGCCCTATCGTTTGAGGTTTTGCCCGGTCGAGTTATCCCGGCCCTACCTGCACGATTTTGTCTGGTTGAGTTTGTTATTAAATTCACTTGTTTCCCGGCCCTATCATTTGAGGTTTTGCCCAGTCGAGTTATCCCGGCCCTACCTGCACGATTTTGTCCGGTTGAGTTTGTGATTAAATTCACTTGTTTCCCAGCCTTGTCGTTTGAGGTTTTGCCCGGTCGAGTTATCCCGGCCCTACCTGCACGATTTTGTCCGGTTGAGTTTGTGATTAAGTTCACTTGTTTCCCGGCCCTATCGTTTGAGGTTTTGCCCGGTCGAGTTATCCCGGCCCTACCTGCACGATTTTGTCCGGTTGAGTTTGTGATTAAATTCACTTGTTTCCCGGCCCTGTCGTTTGAGGTTTTGCCCCGGTCGAGTTATCCCGGCCATACCTGCACGATTTTGTCCGATTGAGTTTGTGATTAAGTTCACTTGTTTCCCGGCCCTATCGTTTGAGGTTTTGCCCGGTCGAGTTATCCCGGCCCTACCTGCACGATTTTGTCCGGTTGAGTTTGTGATTAAATTCACTTGTTTCCCGGCCCTATCATTTGAGGTTTTGCCCGGTCGAGTTATCCCGGCCCTACCTGCACGATTTTTTCCGGTTGAGTTTGTGATTAAATTCACTTGTTTCCCGGCCCTGTCGTTTGAGGTTTTGCCCGGTCGAGTTATCCCGGCCCTACCTGCACGATTTTGTCCGGTTGAGTTTGTGATTAAATTCACTTGTTTCCCGGCCCTGTCGTTTGAGGTTTTGCCCCGATCGAGTTATCCCGGCCATACCTGCACGATTTTGTCCGATTGAGTTTGTGATTAAGTTCATACGATGATCCCCGGACTATCAGATAATATTTCTTCCGGGTGGATTTTTTTAGGCCGACCAGACACATTTGATTGGTCAGTCGGCCATATCTGCTTGTCATTCATGTTTAAGTGTACAAGACATGTTTCACTATACCAGAGTAAAGGGTACTCGGTCGGTCGGATCAAAGCATGAAGACAGGCTGGTCTCCCTCTGATCTCTCAGAATCACTAATCTCCTCGACTTCCTCGTCATCATAGTCGCGGGGAGAGATTCTGACTATCATCCGATGACATGTTGTGCGATCAAAAAAGAGTAAGAGTTGGGGTAAGCAGAAATCAGCAATTTATCAAATTAATCTCTCAAAGTTATGCTACAATCAAAGGAGATCGATACACTTCAACGGAGCAAAAAACTGAGGGGAGCCAAGACGGGTGAAGCAACAGACCGGTCAACCGGATGGCGGGGTGACTGGTCGGTCGGTTGACCGGATGATGATTGGCGGTCGATTGATCAACTAGGTAGCATCAACAAATGGCAATAGCAAGAAAACAACTACAACATTTGGCGCATGATCGATCGGTCTAGCAATTGATTGGTCGGTCTAACAATTGATCGGTCGGTCTGGCGATTGGACGGATGATCTACAAAAAAAATGCAATTGGACGATCGGTCTACAAAAAGTGCAATTGGACGATCGGTCTACAAAAAATGCAATTGGACGATCGGTCTACAAAAAATTGCCATTGGACGGATGATTTACAAAAAATGCAATTGGACGATCGGTCTACAAAAAATTGCCATTGGACGGATGATTTACAAAAAAATGCAATTGGACGATCGGTCTACAAAAAATTGCCATTGGACGGATGATCTACAAAAAAATGCAATTGGACGATCGGTCTACAAAAAAATTGCGATTGGACGGATGATCTACAAAAAAATGCAATTAGACAATCGGTCTACAAAAAAATTGCGATTGGACGGTCGGTCTACCAAGGCGCATGATGGATCGGTATAACAATTGGTCGGTCGGTCGGACGGCAGAAAATCAACAAACAACAAGCAATAAAATTTCGAGGTCGGCCAAATGAAAAAAAAAAAAAAAAAAAAGGAGAAAAAGGGACGTACCTGGAGTGATGGCAGCGGTTGGCCGAGCAGCAGGCGAAGTGGTCGGCTGGTTAGATCGGTCGGTCGGTCGGTGCGGCGTGACGGAGCAGTTGGGAAAGAAGAAAAATAATCCCTTTCGTTGAATGCTAGGTTCGGTCGAAGCAAAGAGAAAAAGAAAAATAAAACCAGGCAAATGCAAATGCAAAAGAAAAAAAAACGAAAGATGGTGCGTTTGCGGCGTGACCAGTCAGCATATCGATTGGAAAGCAACATCAGCGAACAACTACAACAGTCGAACAACAACAATGAAGTTGGTCAATCGACCATTAGAGGAAAAAAGATGATGAAGGTGCAAAGCCGCGAAAGAGATTTAATGCAAAGAAAAGAAGTTAACTATGATTGCATGCATGAAGGAAGCTGGAGTGGCAGCCGAAGCAGATTGCAGTTGAGGAAGGGGGTCAGTCGGTTGGCAACAAGAGGTCGGCTGGCGTGCGAAGCAGCAAGAGAATAAAAAAAAAAAAAAAGACATGGAGTTAAGCATGGAGGACAATGCCCATTGGCTGGGAGGAGAGAAGGAAACAACAACCGCAACAACGATCAACCTTAACAGTGCAATCGGACCTATCGACCTCTCAAAAAAGAAATCTTCCCATTGCATGAGCACCTTCCGACCAAAATATTCAACAAGTTACTGGAGTTTGAAAATTATCAAAAATTGTCCAGTAGACCGGAAGGAGCACGGCTGGACGACTGATCACCCTACGGTAGGACGACCGGATGACACTTTGTTCGTGACAAGCTGATGGGAAGAGTTACGGAGGAAATAGTTCTCACTTCTCGAACCCGACGATTCTCGCGGATTCAAGAAGTGGGGGACTCGTGATGGGTAAATACGTACAGAAGATTGATCCGTATAGCCGATCCGTCAAGAAGTCATCCGACCAGTCCGTTATGGTCTTCATCCCGACAAGAATAAATCACTTGTGGTCAACCGTACCGTTCGTACCGATAGGCCTCGTGACAAAAGAAGATGTTTTTGGATCACCATTGGAATCGCCCCGATGGAAAGTCACCCGGCCGGTCTACCGTAGGGTGACCGGTCGGCCTACAAGATGACGTAGCCTGCACAGCCGAAAACGTAACTTACACGGCAAGTTATAGGGTCCAACTTGCACTTGCAGAACGACGACTGACAGCTTGCAGGTAGGCCGGCTCTGTCGCCTCGGTCAGTCAACCTACGAGTAGCTGCAGAATGACCGTCTGACTAACCTACGAGTAGCTGCAGAGCGACTGTCTGACTGAGCCAACGAGAAGACACCACGTCGATCCGCATGCAGCAGGCGCATTAAATGCGTAGACCGACTTAGTTAAGTATAAATAGGAGGGTCTCACCCCTCAATTCGGGGATCTTCATCTTCATCTCATTGTAACTACTACTCACTACTTGTACCCTTCATCCTATAATAGCAACCCGCTTGTAACCTATTACTTACTAGTTGCAATACTACTTAGCCTCGGACCGCTCAGTGGTCGCCCGGTAGTCCAACCGACCGACCGGCTGACCGTCGAGCGCTTCATTCTACTCGTTCACAAACATACGTATTCGTAGTGTAACCGTAACCCCCGGTTCAATTTACGCTATCAATTACAAAGAAATGGAAAGAAATTATCATTTTGTACCAAATATGCCTTTTATTGAATGATGATATATTACCTTAGATAGGAGGTCACATGTTTGAACATGGAGATATTGACTCTTTGTGTTTTAATAGATTAAAAAATATCTATAATCACTTAATAAAAAAAAAAAAAAAAAAAACACCTTTGGCGAGTACGTGAAGTGAGCGTGAACGTGTTTTTTAGAGAGAGAAAAAGACACAAAAATAAATAGAAGAAGACAGACATAGATCGTAACTTGATACTCCTAATAGTCCTATTAGAAGTGCACTACAAATTTTAAGGAACAGCGAGCTTGCGAAACGGGCTGTACGGACGGACTAAGCTCAGAGATAGAGAGAGAGAGAGCGTTCTCTCCATTACACTGTAGCAAACCGACCATATATACACACATATATAATATATATATATATATATAGGTGTGAAGATATATGTATATGCGTAGGTAGTATACACGATCGAGCTTTTCGATCATTAGCAGTGTGTATTTGACGCTAACTTACTGTAATTCCTTTTTTTCCCCCCCTTTGATTTCGGTTGATTTCCCGAAGAAGTTGCCTGAACAGAGAAAACCTAGAGAAACTATGGAGATGTACGGACGGAGCACAATCAGAAACGGGTCGCAGCCGGATACGAGCGCAGAATGGGCTCCGGTGGGGCCGGAAACGGATCTAGAAGGTGGGTTGTTGGGTTTAACGTTCTGATTACGGGGGTTTAAGTTTTGTTTCTATCTACATTGCGGATTTCTTAGGGTTTTTTTTATGATGGTAAAGATTTTCTCGAGTGTTTGTCATTGCAGAATCAATGCAGAGGTTGGGGTTGTGGGGCAGAGAAAGGTACCCGGAGAGGCCGGGTGTGCCCGACTGCGCATACTACATCCGAACCGGGCTATGTGGTTATGGTGGCAAGTGTCGGTTCAATCATCCTCGTGACCGTTGCTCTGTAAGCTCTTGATCATTCACTATATATTACTATATGAGTATGCAGTTGTTAGTTTTCCAGTGTAGTTTCTATTTTGGTTGTGTGTAGCTTGAGTAGGACATTTGAGTACTAGTCGTCACTGTTTATGCTCTCATTTTAAAAGCCCTATGTTTAATTGTCCTGTCTAACTTGGAGAAAATGACTACTGCAGAAGATAGATCCATTTGCATGTTTTTTTTTGTTAAACTTTTGGAAGTTTCACTTCAATCATCTGTTCCTCTGGTGAATTAATGTAGTTGTTGATAATTCACCACTTCACCATTGATTGTAGTAATTGAGACTAAACTCCTATTTATATTGATCTTTGAATTGTTCTGGCTGGAAGGTTGGGGCAGTACAATTGGGAGTAGGGGTATATCCTGAACGACCAGGGGAGCCTACTTGTCAGGTAATCTATTTCATTTACTTGAGGATTTGCTGTTATACATTTGAAGCTATTTGGATTATCTGCTTCAAGTTTGATAGTTACTTTATTGATTGCGTAATTTCCTTGCATGCAGTACTATTTAAGAACAGGAACCTGTAAATTCAGTGCATCCTGTAAGTTTCATCACCCAAGAAATGCTGGTGGATCCTTAAGTAATGTCTCACTTAATATTTATGGATACCCATTAAGACCGGTAATGATCTCTAGTTTCTAATACAAGTAGGCGTTTGTGCCTATTCAAATCTTTTCTTGTTTCTTTTATTCCATTAGATGTACTTGGTTTGTGGGTTTAAGCTTTTTGACCTTTGTGGATCATGACAGGATGAGAAAGAATGCTCCTACTATTTGAAAACGGGGCAATGCAAATTTGCTTTAACCTGTAAATACCATCATCCTCAACCAGCTGGTGTGTCAGGGCCAGCAGCTGCACGTCCATTTTATCCGACTGTGCAGTCTCTTCCTGGACCTTCCACAGAACAGTACAGTGGCAATTCAGCTAACTTTAGGGTCACAAGGCCTCCATTATTACCTGGTTCATATTTGCCTAGTGCTTATGGTCCAGTACTGCTTCATCCAGGCATGGTTCCGGTTCAAAATTGGAGTTACTCGGTAATTAATGAGACCTTTTTGTTAATCAACCTCTACTCCAGTGGAAGTACCCTTTCTTAGAGTGTGGTTAGTTTACTTGATGCAGGGACCAGTTAGCCCATCACTATCTCCTGGTGCTCAACCCTCTAACGGGTTAGCTTCTGTTTATGGAATATCACAGATGGCTTCTTCTTCAACCGCCTTTCCAGGACCTTATTCTCCTTTGCTGGCATCCACTGGTCCTTCAAGTAGCGCACAGAATGAAAAGTGTTTTCCTGAAAGGCCTGGCCAACCTGAATGTCAGCACTACATGAAAACTGGGAATTGTAAATTTGGATCATCTTGTAGGTATCACCATCCACCAGGCTGGAACTCATCAAACATAAATATTGCTTCCAGCCCTCTGGGGCTTCCTCTGCGTCCGGTAAGTGCACATTTTTCTTTTATCCTCCATTGTTTAGGCTTCCCCTTATCTGTCTGCACTCATTACCTTCATGTCGGATGACTGAGTTTAGCTCATGGCTATTGGATAACTTACCATATATGATTCTTTGTTTTGTTTCTTTTCCTCACATAATGTTTGCTGTTGTTTTGTCTTTTTGCTTGTATTGTCCTTATGCCCCCCACCCCCACCCCCACCCCCCCCCTCCCTTATCCTGATAAACATAGCTCAGTCCATAGACTTCTGGGAGCATGACATTCTTAATTATTTTTTAAATGTATTGATTAATGAAATGTTTGGCAGTACTTGATGGTCTGGTGATTAGTGTGGGTTGTGAATTTTTATCGTGAATATGTTTTGCTTCAGGTCAATATTATTTATTTTCTTCAGGTTAGTCTAATTTTTTACCAATTAGCTGTTAGATCTTGTAGCAGCTGCAGGTATCATATGTTAATTTATAGTATTTGAACAAGGATCGCCCTAGTTTAATTAAAACTATTGACCAATTACTGAGACTTGTGGTGGATAAATGAATATACTGATGGACTTCAGTTAGCCAAAGTCAAAGGTTTTAAGTTTAGGTATATTCCAGACCAACTATTTTCCTTTTTGATGGTGCTAGTGTGAATTTGTTCATGCCAGGAAGGAATCTTAGTTTATATATTAATCTAAGAAGTAAGAACCAAAAGGGCTGAATGGCTGATATTGGTTTCTCTGAATTTGTTTGGTCTGTATTTGACTTTTGCAACACATTTTCTTCTCTTAAAGTTGAAGGAAATATTCTGTTCATAATATTTTGTTGCATGTTACTTTGAATGCCTTTATATATGCAATATCTAATTGGTTTGTATAGCCACTGCCTGTAAAGAGTAGTTCTTTGACCAACTTGTGATCCTACTTTTGATAAAAATACTAGTACTTCAATTTTTTCTAAAGCTTATTGTTGAACTCATAAATAGTAATATCACATGCTCATTGGACAATGATTGATAAACTTCTATTCATATTTTTGCAATTTATGGAGCATATCCTGTAACCCCCCGAAGTTTATAATAAATCATGGACCCTTAATGTGGTTCGGAATACATTAGAACACACATGCACAAAAGAAATATCATGTGGTTTGGAATACATTAGCCTCTTTGAATCATTGAATGCTCATCTACTTAGCTATCATTTTTAATGTAACTTCAATCATTAGTTGAAGAGGCCGGTGGGACCATGTCTCACAACCACGGTAGCATGTACCTTCTTACTTTTAGGAATGTAGAGTTTACTGATTTTGGTATTCACGCAAATCTGTTTTACAGGGTAAGCTTAATGAATTGGAACTGTAGGTTCATCGTTGTGTAACAGTTTCTGTTTCTTTAAATTATGGTGAAAATAGAGGAGGTTGAGCTAATTGATGTTTCATTTCATAATGGAACCTTTTACATAATGGCTTTCTACTATCTAATGGCAGGGCGCGCAACCTTGTTCTTTTTATCTGCAAAAAGGATTCTGCAAGTTTGGTCTAAGCTGTAAATTTGATCATCCAATGGAGAGTACAATATAGTCCATCAGCTACATATTCTGCTACCAATGTACCAGCTGCTCGGGGTCTTCTTTTCTTGCTTTGGTTCCTATTTCACTGCCAAAGCTGCGTCTGGATTTGTTCGTGGATCTATTCAGATCCCTTGTGATTATGACGAGTGATTCTAGTAGTTCAGATGGGATTCAGGTCAGGGAAGATAAACTCTTAAACTAAAAGCTGAGTCCAATTCACAGTTGCAGTAGTATTTTATGTTTTGGGTTTGTAGTCTGTAGAGAAGAAAGACATACAGTTTGTTAAGTTACTGTAGCTTTTTTGGGTGTCCAGTCCAGGTACTATTATGTTGTGTGAATGAAGTTGGAAGTATGTTAGATGATCCTTTCTGAGAAATTGATGAATGACTTAGGATAGCTCATCAATTCTTCTTCTGCAATTTTCCAAAAATAAAAAATAAAAAATTCTTCCTCCGCATATCCCCAACCTTACCATACTTTTTTGGGTGACGAGGAAAACCTGCAACCATTATTTGAGAGTGTGCATTAAGTAAGTCTCGTCTTGTGATCCTAGCCGGCAAATAACTATAAGGAGGTAAACTAGTCTTAAGGTTGACCGGTTCAAAATTAAGGATGAGATTCGAGCTTGTGACTTTATAATTATAAGTTTATTTCTTAGGCATCTTGATTGAGGTTACTCCAAACATTACCATACTTGATACAATCAAGTATGGTATGGTGTAGCCGAACCTCGAAAGGGATGGATCATGTACTAACATACATACACTTCGATTTATGAAAAGCCTACCACCTCATTTTCAGGACCATAAAGTGGTAAACCAGTTTAGGTTTAAATGACCGGCTCAAATCAATGAAAGATTTCAATAAATAACCAACCTAAGTTTAATTAATTGGTTTAAACAAATAAAATGTTAATAGATAGCTCTCACAAGAATTCAGAAAGTGAATCCAATCAACTTAAAAAGTCAATAAATATTCAATTTAGATTTAGCTAATCGACTCAAATTTTAAAAAATACCAATAAATAACTAAAGTGAATCCCATTAATTTGGTTGAAGTTTTCCACATATATACTAACATAACATACGAGGTGCCGGATCTCACATGTAATTGTGTAATTGAGTGAACATGTCCGTTAGTCAATTATTGGAGTCAAAAAAAAAAAATCAAGAAAACATTGTGGAAAAGAATCAAATCCGGTGGGCGGGTTTGCATCAGATGAGAGATAGAAATTCGATTTCATTTTGTCACATTGGAAGGTTGAATTGGTTCTTGGATTTGTATACGTATATGGGGATGTAGGGGCCCACGTGTCTTGTGTACGGCATCATTGTAACCACACACCCATCTATTCATCCAAACCTTGTCGACCACCACCTCCTCATGTGAAACCTATTATTTGAAACATCCTTTTGCTTGCTTTCTCTCCTCCTTTGTTTTTTAATAATAATTCATTCTTATTTTATCAAAAATAAAAATATTGTCTAGATTTGTCTCTCAACCTTCTAATATAATAATAATATTTATTACAATTACAATCCTACGTTGTGGGTCTTGTTTAAACAACAACACTATATTATTTTTTCATCTGTTATTTATTTTTTAAAAATATTTTGATCTAAATAGCTAGTGTTATAGGGGTTGTAGTTTTTTTAGTGAGATAACAATGAAAACTTTTAGTATTATCTAAGAGGCTCGATTTTTATGCCATGTGGAAAAGAGAGAATGTCAAGATCTCTCTGCAAGACCTTGATTTTTTGTAGAATCTGTAGAAGAGAGAAATACCAAAGATTGTTTTCATCACAAGCAGTGCCCAGCTAGGCACGTTAACGACTAAGTTTTTTTGTTTTGTTTTTCTTTTTGCGTGTCAAATTTGTATTTTTTCTTTATTCTCTTTCTCTTGTCTCTTTCCTAGTTGATACCTCAAAAACTTAAAAAAAATAAAAATTATCACTATTAAAAATGTCTTAAAAGTACAAATAGCTCACAAATCACATAAACTCTGTGAAATGAATTTAATCAAAAAAAAAAAAAAAGATCGAATATTAACAATAATCAAACTATTGATATTCTCGTACGATACTCATACTTCACACGTCAGTATATCACCGCTTTCAGAGTTGTATTACTTTTCTTGAATGTGAAGTAAATATCACTGGAATACACTGCATGAACTTGAATACTCCGTAATAATTATTAATGAGTACTAATAAGATTTTGCTTCCCTGTTCGGCGAAAAGCTGCAGTGTGGTCCTGCCCGGACAACCTCAAAACATTTTTAAGGAGACTAAAATATCTTTAGAGAAAGATACTGCATACTTAAATTTACTATAATCTCACTTTAATTAGTTTAATTTCGTGCCCATGATTCATTTATTGTATTCGATTTACAGTAGAAGAGCTCACCTCGAAAGATGAATTCCTAACATGATACTCCGTACTTTCTAATACCTTTAAAACAATCAAAACTAAAGTTATAGCTCTTTTAGTAACATAGTTGGCTTAAAGCAACATTATCAATTGGGAATATTAAGGGAGAATGTAAGAATGATGAGGAAAGAGAATGTGGAAGGGGAGAGAAAAAAAAAATAAATTCAAAACTGATTTTTTATTAAAAAAATAATATAAAAAGTATGGTCAGGCGTGCCTGACGCGCCGCGTGCATTGCACGCATCTGTGTGGGCGCTTCTCTGATATTTCTCAACCCTTGCAAGACAACTATTTCCTGAAAAAATCCCATTCCACACTTGTAAATGACCCCACTCAAAATATTTAATCAGACATTAACCCCATATTCTTCTTACTATGGATGCTCTTATCAATTAATTTTAGTTTATTTGATCATTATTAGATGTTAATATAAGTGTTTGATTAATTAATTTTTTGTAACAGATTATGACTCCAAAATGCTAAAATTAAAAAAACTTGTCAAAGCAGTTTTTACGATCAACTTTTTGAGAAAATATTTTACACGTAATCACCTATCAGCTAACAACTAATTTATCGAACATCTTACTACAATCAGCTAATGCTATCAACTTGTCGCACACACTAACCCAGCAACTAACAACTAGCAGCTATTTACCAAACACCCTCATAATATTTTAATTTAAAATTATAAACTTTTATTACTCGAATTGAAATGATTCTACACTCACACTATGGCATGATAGTCGTAGTGAGTTTACCAAACAGAGATCCAATTGCCGACCCAAACGGTATGGCAGTAAGAAGTGGTGGCGTTAATGGGGTTATCATTGCCTCCCTAAGCAATAATTCCAATTTAGAGTAACATTCAACAGGAGCATGATGAGATGAGTCCCAAACATACGATTCCACAAAAATGATACAATGTTAAAAAGCCTAAGACAACAACTAACATGTGTGAGGCAACATAGGTATATAATTTTTTTATTTTTATTTTTACTTTAAATTTTTACTGAAGTGACAAGTTATGATAGATTCATCTATAAATGTGATATTTAAGTTAAGGTCAAATCTTCACTCACAAGTTAGCTTTGTGATTGCGTTATGATTTTGATTTGAGTGCTGTATCATTTGATACTCTCGTTCAGAGTCCGGTAGACCAGTACTAATGCTTGATAAGGTCTATCCAATGCCAAGAAAAGTTCGAGTTGAGAATTTGGACTTACATTTGTTTTTATTTGTTAAATATGATTAATAGAATAATATTACATGCACTTTTACTTTACATTTATAACATGACACACTTTAATTCACCAAGAGAAAAAGTGCTTACTAATAAAATCAATATTAACGGTTATTATCTTCCATTAAGTAGCTAGGAATTGGGTTAGGAGATGGGATGTGATGATCATTGCAATCCCTGTGGCCTTTCTTATTAGTCTAAACAACAATGATTTGTTGCTTAATCATCAATTTGAGGCGTGCACATCTGCCTGGCCCCACTTTTTCACCCCAACCCAATTGCATATATATATATATATATATATATATATATATATATATATATACCATTTCATTTTCTATATATGAATTTGTAAAGAGTTTATCTTAATCATCTCCATTGAATCAAAAGAGTTAGGATTCCACATTGTATCCTTTAGCTCACTTTTCTAGGTGAGGTTGGTTCCATCATGAATGCCACAATAGTATAATTTTTTAACCCATTCGCTAAAGAACGGAGTGATGAGATTCAAATTAAATTTACTTCTAAAAAAATAGAAAAAGAAAGATGAAACTCTTACGCTAAATAAAAAAAAAAAGAGAGATGAAATAATTGAATGAGTAAGGCATAATTATGGTATCTAATGATCATGAGTTCAATTATTACTTAACACCTCCTTCATTCTTCTTCAAAGGACTGCGCACAAGGAGCCCCCTCACTTTGAGAGGTTGCTTCCACGCTGGTGAGACTCGATCCCTGATCATTCTTTCAAAGTTTCACCTCTATGACCAGTTGAGCTACCCATGCAGGCTACTTAACACCTTCTTGATCAATCGAAAAATAGACTACTCTTAGGGTTAGGGATTCAACCTTTGGAAGAAGAAAATTGATTGCCCTTAAAACTTCCTAGGTTGAAGAACAAAAGAAGGAATTTGCCCGAGAAGGGGCTTCTGTTGGATTAACTAGTGGGACTCTTACAAGAAGCAACAATGGGGAATTTCCATGACAAAGCATTGCGATTTGTACAGTAACTGATTTATATGAAAATATATGTACTCATATTTTTTCCCCATGACGTGTAATTTGTGTCATTGCTCGCCGATCTGATTTTATTTGTATAGATGTGATCCAAGTATGTTAATTGTTCAAGTGCATCAAGAGCATGTTTTGCCCGCACGGGCTTAGCTCATTAGTTCAGTAAGTTTTGAGAGAAGAGACTGAAGTTCAAATCTGGACAACGGCATTTTGATCTTGTCTGTTGAGCCATTAAGTCACTGTGATCTACATCTCCCCAAATGCCCTTTGGGGTTGGGATTCAACCTTTTAGGAGGAGAAAGCGTATATTTTGACATAATTTACTACACAATAATCTTGGTGAGGCAAGATATTAGATCCACCAAACTGTGTGGCTCTTGCTTATAAACATAGGTACAATGCAATTAATTACCAACTAATCCTTTGCTTCCACTTTAATTAGCTTTACACATAACCTTAGCTTGTTGCATTTTTTAAAGCCTCATCACCTTTTACTCCTCAACCCTTTTGTTTTTTCACAATAGGTAGCTTTCAATGGCTATGATTACAATCCCCAAAAGCACTGGCAACAATTCCGGAATCCAGCAATCTCAGCATGGTGAAAACTCAAAAGACACTCACTAATCCCTCACTTTTCACCGAAAAGCACCTCCACCCTGTGTGCCACAGCTTCTCATATTTTGACTTTCACAATTTCAAACACACATTAATCAAAAAAGGTTTTCCTTTTTCCCCATTGCATGGTTTCATGTCTTTCTGCTCCCTCCAGTTTTCCCCTCATTCCCACTTTCACACTTCTGGACTCTGAGAGAGATAGTAATGGGAGTTGTGACCATTGCAGAACTGAAGCCAAGCGTTTCTGGGAAGAGGTCTTTTCGGCCCAGTTCCAGTGCCAGACATGTTACAGAATGGTGGGTTTTGTCTTTCTTGATTTTGTTTTTTTTGGGGTTCTCACCTAGAATGTTTGATCCTTATTTCTGACATTAATGCGTGTTTTCTGGTGGAAGAACAAGAAATAGGATTATGCATTCTTGCAGTTTTTTACCTACAATCTACCACCTAAGAATCAACTGAGCTGTAAATGCGGGGCTGCATTGCAGTTTCTTTCTAGGAGGAGCAGGAATTCTTGTTGTTTTTTTTTCTAATGGCACCCAGAAACCAACTGAGTTGCCCGGGTGGACTACATTCTTGCAGTTTCTTGCTAGTAGGAGCAGAAATTATTGTTTTTTTTTTTACTTATAACACCAGAAATCAACTGAACTGTTCGTGCGAGTGCATTCTTCCAGTTTTTTGCAAGTAGAAGCAAGAATTCTTGTTTTTTTTTTTTTTTTTTTTTTTGTTTTTTTTTTTTTGCTGATGGCACCCAGAAATCAACTGAGTAGCCCGTGCAGATTACATTCTTACAGTTTCTTGCAATCTTGCTAGTAGGAGCAGAAATTCTTGTTTTTTCTTTTTTTACTTATAACACCAGAAAACCAACTGAACTGTTCGTGCGAGTGATTCTTGCAGTTTCTTGCCATTAGGATCAAGAATTCTTGTTGTTTTTTTGTTGATGGCACCCAGAATCCAACTGAGCTACTCGTACGAGTTACATTCTTGCAGTTTCTTGCTAGTAGGAGCAGAAATTCTTGTTTTTTTTTTTACTTATAACACCAGAAACCAACTGAACTGTACGTGCGAGTGGATTCTTGCCAGTAGGAGCAAGAATTCTTGTTTTTTTTTTTTTTCTGATGGTAACAAAAATATATATGATCCATTTCATGGACAAGTCACCAATCCTTGTCTCCCCTTTTCCTCGGATCCACTCAGCAGACAGTGGCACGAGGACAGTGGTGGTTCAATGTTCTTAATCTTCACACTACACACTACTGCAGTAATTTTTTTTGGATAGACTATATGGATTTCTATTCAATTCAATTATTTTTCTGGCTGCTTCTGTGGCCCTTTTGGAAGGTTCATAACCCATACCTTCATTCATTGACTGCTACTTTCTTTGATTGATCATGCACATGCATCTTCCTGCTACACCCAGCTGGGGAGATGAGGAAATGTTTCCCTGAAGAAATCATGCTGTATTATATATGTTCTTTGCTTTAAATTATTAGCCTGTCTGTTGATTTCAAGATCGCAAACTAAATAACTCGATCTTGTATTGCAGGCCGATATCTGATGTTACAAGTGATCTTACAATCGAGGTAGGCGGGGCTAGCTTCGCGCTTCATAAGGTATGGATAGTGACAACAATTCAAGAAGGCAGGGAGAATTTTATAAGATGTGAGTATTATTTAATTTGTGCATATATATATATATATATATATATATGTATGCAGTTTCCTCTGGTTTCGCGGAGTGGGAGGATCAGGAAACTCCTGGCAGATGGGAAGGAATCGAAGGTTTCGAGGCTGAATCTTTCGGATGTTCCCGGGGGATCAGAGGCCTTTGAGCTGGCTGCGAAGTTCTGCTATGGAGTAAACGTCGAGATTTCGCTGTCGAATGTTGGGATGCTGAAATGTGTGGCCAGTTTCCTGGAAATGACAGAGGAAGTGTCAGAGAAGAACCTGGAAATGAGGAGTGAAATCTTTCTTAAGGAGATTGTGCTGCCAAATATATCGAACTGTATATCTGTTCTGCACAGATGTGAAACATTGTTGCCAGTATCTGATAAGGCGAATCTCGTTGCCCGGTTGATCAACTCGATCGCGAATAATGCTTGCAAGGAGCAGCTAACTTCGGGTTTGTCCAAGCTGGACCATAACTTCCCCTCGAAAGCCCACCAAAGTGTCGATGTTGATGCAGAAACCCCGTCGGATTGGTGGGGGAAGATGCTCACAGTCTTGAATCTTGATTTCTTTCAGAGGGTTGTTTCTGCAGTGAAAGGGAAGGGTTTGAAACAGGATATTATTAGTAGGATCTTGATAAACTATGCCCAGAATTCTCTTCAGGGAATCATACTCAAAGACCCTCAGATGGTTAAAGGAGGGTTCTTGGATTTGGATTTCCAGAAAAAGCAAAGGATCATAGTCGAAACCATAGCCAGTTTGCTCCCAACACAATCCCGGAAAAGCACTGTCCCAATTGCATTCCTTTCAAGCCTGTTGAAATCTGCAATTGCAGCCTCAACTTCCACTTCCTGCAGGTCTGATCTGGAGAGGCGAATCGGCCTGCAGCTCGACCAGGCGATTCTCGAGGACATCCTCGTACCTACTAATCCACACGGGAATAGCCACAGCCCTCTCTACGACACGGATTCAATCCTGAGGATCTTCTCGTTTTTCTTGAACTTGGATGAGGATGATGATGAGGATAGTAATCCACTGAGGGATGAAGCTGAAATGGTTTATGATTTTGACAGCCCTGGCTCCCCCAAGCAAAGCTCAATCCTTAAGGTGTCAAAACTCCTGGACAACTATCTTGCAGAAGTTGCACTTGATTCCAACCTCTCCCCTTCAAAGTTCATAGCCCTTGCAGAGCTGCTCCCAGACCATGCTCGCCTTGTTTATGATGGACTATACCGAGCCGTCGACATTTTTCTCAAGGTGCGTCTTAACTAAAAGGCTAAATTGATAGCAAAGTAAAACTATAACTATAATCCTTATAGTTGGTCACGACTGTTGACTTGGTAACTACAATATTACAAATTCGTCTCCCAGCAGGGTACCATAATGCTTTCTTAGTTTGAGCCGATCAACTATGGGTAACCTAGTATGGTTTATCTTATTATGATTCTTTGCTAGTTAGGGTCACATGACAAGTTTACCCAGTGTACACCGTAATTAATTCTTCCTAGTTTGGCTCCTAGTGGAACAGCTAATTGCCTTCTTAGGTTTGACTGTTTGAGTCGACCTAGATTGGTTTACCGATGATTCTTTGTTGGTTTAGGCCGACCTAGACTGGTTTACCTATGATCCTTTGCTAGTTTAGGTCATATGATAGGTTTACTGGTGCATACCCTTAAGTAATGATGTAATGATGCGGTTTCCCTCGTTTAACTCCTAGTGTGACTTTTTGTTAGTTTTATTGATTTAAACCGGTTAAGTTACTTGATTCTCTACCAGCTAAGATCACGTGATATAATTTATAGGTGCATACTCAATAATGATTAGGGTTTTCCTCGTTCAACTCCTAGCTGGCTGTCTATTAGTTTTATCGATTTGAGCCGGCTCAACTCCTAGCTGGCTGTCTGTTAGTTTTATCGATTTGAGCCGGCTAAATTACTTGATTCTCTACCGGCTAAGATCACAAGCTATAATTTACCTAAAAAAAAACCTAAACATTAAATAACCTTCGTGTTCTTGTCTCAGGTTCATCCAAACGTGAAAGATTCAGAACGGTACAGGCTCTGCAAAACAATCGACTGCCAGAAGCTGTCCCAAGAAGCCTGCAGCCACGCCGCTCAAAACGAGCGGCTGCCGGTGCAAATGGCGGTCCAAGTCCTCTACTTCGAGCAGATCAGGCTGCGGAACGCCATGAACGGCGGCCACAACAACCAACTCTTCTTCGGCTCATCACTGCACAATAACCAATTCCCCCACCGCTCCGGCAGCGGCGCCGGGAGCGGCTGCATCTCCCCCAGAGACAACTACGCATCAGTGAGAAGAGAGAACAGAGAGCTAAAACTGGAAGTCGCCAGAATGAGGATGAGGCTAACGGATCTGGAAAAAGATCACGTCTCCATGAAACAAGAGCTCGTGAAGTCTCATCCAGCTAATAAACTCTTCAAATCGTTCGCCAAGAAACTCAGCAAACTCAACACGCTTTTTAGGATAAAGGACTTGAGACCTTTGGGTGGAAAAGTTAACGCAGAAAGCCGTCTGCTTTTCCAGAAGAGAAGACGCCACTCCGTTTCTTGATCTTCGTTTGATTTGTTTGTGTGAATAACAATTGAGTGTATGTATAGTTTTTAGTTTAATTTACTGGCCGGCCTGGTGTGATCATATATCTTACATGCATGAATGCAAATTTAAAAGCTCTGTTTTTGTACAATATGGTTTTAATATTGTTCTTTGAAGTAAATGGCATATACAATGCAACAGACCGAGAAAAGAATGATCAAGATATCGAAAGTGAGGGCGGATTTGGCCTGAGAACTGAGCTCCATGTTCTTCCCACCCAGTCTATCCACCATGTCTGGAACTGATTCCCAGTTTTCCACTTCTTGCATGTGGGGATCTTGAAACTTCATCCTCAGTTTCTCTGCTTCTTTGCTGGCTGCTTCCTGGGCAAGCGTCCAGTCATAAAACCTGCGTTTTTCGTCGTTGCTAAGAACTTCATACACTTCTTTTAGCTTCATGAATTTCTCAGATGCAGCTTTTAAAGGAAGGGAAGTTGTGTCTGGATGATACTCCTTTGATAGTCTCCGGTACGCGGTTTTGATCTCTTCCACGTCCGCATCTGCACCCACTCCCAAGAACCTGTATGATCATATCGATCAGAAATTAGTTACAGAAAATCACAAGACTAGGCCAAAACAAACTACAGTCTCAAACAGTGATTGCAAGTTTATGATTCAAAAAAATTGAAAAAAATGGAATTAGAAGTGGAGATAGGGATTGGAGATTAACTGGTAGTGAGAATCTGTTGAACTGTTGAGTAATTCTGAGAATTTATCTCCGAGAAGCTCATTTTCATCGGCTTTTAGTTGTTGTTCTTGCGTTGAGCTTGAGCTGCTGCTTCCTCCTATCCAGCCTTCATCTTCGTTCTCCCAGTGGATTCTGGTGTCAACTCCGGGAGGGGCTGTTTGCCGCGGCGGCGGTTTTGGTCCTTGCGTTGTTGCAAATATCCTTACCTCCCGCCGGCACCCGTACGGTCTTCTTCTCCTCTCTACCGCCGGGGACTGCCGCAGTTCGGTTCTCCGGCATCTCTGTAAGATAGAGAAAAAGGACTGCGGAGCTGTTGTGGAAGCCATGGGAATGGGAATGAAAGCTGAGGTAGCTATCTCGTTCCTGGTTTTGGGGTTCTGGCCGGAGTTGAGAAGAGGTGGCTTTCAGCCCCTCTCCGCCTCATCTTTCTTTGTGGCTCACAATATAACCTGGAAAACTATCACTAAACAACATAATTATTTAATTTTGTTTTCTTTTGGTTGACCAGGAAATTCACAATTACTATCCAATGTTGTATATAGAATAAATCATACACCTGCCCTCACGGATCTAGTTCAATGATTCAATAAACAGTATTTGAGATAAGAGATCAATGTTCAAATTTGGGTGGCCACAGTGTAGACATTATGTTTAAAGTAGACAGATCACTTGTGCCCACTATCATTTGGTCCTGTCTACTGAGTCAATTCCTAAAAAATTAATAGACAACTTTCACTGAAAATTAAACTTGAATCCATATAGTTACCAAGTCAACGTCCTAAAATCAGACCAACTAGCATATAATTTCATAGGGACCACAAGATTTAAAAAACATTTTATAACCACAAAAGACAAACATTATACAATTGAAACACAGACTCCAAACAAAGCTCTTTGACTGCATGCTGTACATACAGACTTCTTCTTCTTCCTTCCCCCTCTGGTATACATGAACTACATACATCTATATTAATGTAAAAATTTCCCAGATAGAACTTGAATAATGTTGCTGCTTATTTCTTGAAGATGGTGAAGCTGCATGCCCTTATTTCTTCTCATTTCTTGCAGTGAACTCAAGAAGCTTAATTAGCCATTGAACTTGTTACATAAAACCAGCTCAATATACAACTATACACACACACTATATATATATATATATATATATATATATATATATATATATATATATATATATATATATTAGAGCTATATGCCCTACATAAAACGGGCTAGCTCGACCAATATATATATTAGACCCATATGGCTTTAGCTTTCTTGAGGAGTGGGACGAGTTGGCCCTTGAGATGAAGGGACATGATTTCATTTTCACCACCAACAAAATCTCCACCTATATAAACTGCAGGAACAGTGGGTCTGAGCCCAGATGCCACCAGCTCTCTTTCAAGTTGCTGCCCATTGGGGAGCTCATCAAGCTCATAAACGGTGGCGTTTGCCCCAAAACTGGTGACCAGAGACTTGATACTGTGGCTCATGAAGCAGGAACTCTTGCTGAAGATCACCACTGGCTTGCATGATGCTAAGCTCCTCACTGAATCCATGGCGGAATTGAAGAACAGATTAAATATATATATATATAATGCTGTATGTGTGTATATTGAGGCTAGGTGAGGTAGCCAGTTAAGTAGTTGTTGGTGTGAGGAGATTGGTCTCCACCAACCTTATATATATAGGTAGAAGAGTTAAGGTGGTGATCGAGATAGATAGATGTTCTTTCTAGTACATTATCCGACAACCAAGAAATTAAAAGAAAAGGTAATAGGAGAAAGCAGACAATCATATCAGATCAGATAGATATTTCCTAGATTCCCTATTTGGCCTTTGGAGTAGATCATGATAACAAGAGCATGCAACATGGGCGACTTAGGGGTCGACATTCTTTGATTTACAGAGAAGCCAGACAAGTCACGGGTTCAAATCATAGCAAGAGTAAAAACTGTACAGTTAAGACTAACTTATAGGTGCTGGGAGGCTGAAGAAATTGTTAGGCAGAGGCTGGTGAAGGACCAAGTCCAATAATTAGTAACTAGGGGGATTGTTGGGTAAGTCCAGCGCCCTACCTCTCGAAAATGTGTTTGGTCAAGTCCAGTCACCAGTGCTTTCATTGTGAACTAAAACTTTTGGCGTAATGCATGGTAAGCACTTGATCCTAATAAGGGTGTGCTCTAAGTAAAATCCTAGTTGACAAAAGAACAAAAAGAAGTAAAGTGACAGAAGTTGTCCATAGGCTTAAACCAAGAATATAATATCAATAAATAACTTCCAAGTGAGTAAAATTTGAAACATTATTATAGTTAACAAGCGAACGGTCTTATTACCAACTTTGTTAAGATTGCCTCTAGGGACCATATATCATTCTTGAGTATAGACAACTATCTAGTACACTCATATAGCTTAGCTCGTTAAGTTGGTGCATGTACTAATCTTAGCTTCTCTGTATCATTATATTTAAGTCTTGCTTATCAGTTATCAGATTGCAAAAACCTAGCTAGTCCTGTAAAGTCCAATCCTTATTCCAAATATACAAGATTAAGGATTGTTGAATTGTGTAAATCTTGGAAGTGACACCCTTTTTGCAAAACCTCTGATCTGTTAGCAACAAATTTGCTTCTAAAAACGTAATCGTTCCACGGCATAATGATATCTCATCCATGCAGGAGGAGCCAAAACTATATAAGAAAATTTGGGGGAAAAAAATAGAGAAAAAATTCAAAGGATTTGATCCGGACCACATCGGAGCATCCGGTGAGGTGGACAATTGAACGATGTTCGGTGTTATCCAAATTTATTTTATTTTATTTTTTAAATTTTCTGTTACATACACTGTGACAACGAAAGGTGGTTGAGGTGTGACAGATTCGCAACTGCAATTAACTCGAATTATAAATATAGAATTCTTTTGTCCTGATTACATTTTACCCTTTCTGGAAATGCTTAAGAATCAAACTTATTCCATGTCGTCCGTACAAAAAAAGAGAAGATTGGGAATATATATATATATATATATATATATATATATATATATATATATATATATATATATATTTGAACATGTAGATGAAGAGTAAGCTCTAGGGCTATGGATTTAATTATGTTAAGCTTTGGCATTAGCATTGGGGATGATGGAGAATATTTCTTCGTGGAATATATCGACTTGTCTCCAACCCACATTTCATAATTTCCCCTTTTGTAGACTATCTTTAACAGTTGTAGTAAGTGGTATGTGCACTGGGGAGGGTAGTTGTTGAGAGTTTTCGATGGTGAATTGTTTTAAATATAATTTTGTTTGAACGTGTATTCTTAACCGATAAATGATCATAAAAAAAAAAAACAGTTGACCATAGTTGACCTGCTTAAATCGAGAAGGATTGATCCTTTTTTTTTTTTTTGGCAAAAAAAAAAAAAAGACACTCATTTTAAATCTACTTTGTACTGATAATTAAACAATATAATGAGCGGTAATGTGTTTTAATCTAGAGATGCTAATGCTAATAATTAACATAGGCATCTAATTAAGGTCGGTTGCGTGTCGAGAAAAGACGTCCATTCTTTGGTTAAAAGCGTGGCGATAGTGGTCGGCGCGAGTGTAATTAATCTTAAAAATGCTGTTAATGCTAAATATTTAAGATTCTTAATTGTCTCTTCGAGGTTATGGAGTTGAGACATCTGTGGTGGAAGGGCACTGATTATATTCCACGTGGAAGAATCATTGTGCCTATAAACAAGTCATCCTAATTTGATTAGCTAGTCAATGTAAAGCTAAATAGATTGATATAGTACGTGCTTAGTGCTTTGTAAAAGTCCATAAACTTGCTTTTTAATGTGATATTAAATATTTGAGACTAAATATTTGGTGATTATCTTTATATATATATATATATATATATATATATATATATATATATATATATATATATATATATATATATATATATATATTGCAAACAATCTAGTATGTGTGCATTCATGTAGTAGTTTATGTGCAAGTGTCTCACGAGACTTACGGAAAGATATGATCTCATTTGATTATTACTCATATATTGTCAAGATCAAACGATGATGTTAATATGATTATAAAAGAGTAATTAACATTAGACATTTGTTATCTCTATATACTCATATATATTGTCCAGACGATGATGAATTGATGACAATGGCTACCATACCATATATGGCATGCATGGACAGGGACGGAGCCAGAAAATATGTTGAGGGGGGGCAAAGAAGTAAGGATGGATTCAATGGCGGATTCAGAAATTTTTTTTAGTGAGGGAAAAAAATTAAAATAAAAAAGAAAGTTTAAAAAAAAAATGAAATACTTAAAAAGTATAACAATAAATATTGTTGGATATAGCGAAAAATAAAACATATTAAAACTTTATAAAAATATTTATAACAAAATATGAAACATAATTAATTTGATAATACAATTCGAATATAAAACACATTATAAATTACACATTCCATTATTAATATAAAGAAAATTATAATGGAAGTTATATATATCATGCCAAAATTTAATTGTGTTAATCAAAAAAGTGAAGAAGACTGTAACATTATCAACGCAAAAAACTCAAACCCAAGCCATTCCGAAACTCAAACACATTAACTACCACCTTGTCTATCACAGCTTTTGTTTACATAATCTGTTTTATAATACTTATATGAATAATGTACTATATATACATATTACTCCATATATATAATATATGGTAGGGGTGGGGTGAGGTGAGGTGGGGTGAGGGGGGCAGCTGACCCCCTGCCCCCCTCTGGCTCCGTCTATGTGCATGGATGCACCCCAAATGCATATATATATATATATATATATATATATATATATATATATATATAGATGGCCGGGCTTGGGATACTTATTCTTTCTTCCTGCAAATCGAATCATCCCAACGACACACAAAAAGAAAGATGCGTTCATATCCTGCATCCTGCAAGATTCTTCTTGCTGCAGCATGCATGCCAACTGAAAATAAGTTTTTCATAAATCTTAACCCTTGTACTAGAAATAAAGTTGTTTACACAAATAAAGTAAAAAATGAAAAATACTGAATTTTACCTGATTTTATGAGCTCTTTAATTAATTTACGTGTATGGTTAGGTTATTATAAGATTTTATTATAAGTCCCATGCATTATCTATCTGATCTATTCATCTGACACAATAGTTAAATGTATGTATGTTGAAGCTAAGATTATCTAGGAATGAAATATATAATATTCTGCGAGTAAATCCAATTAAGTACTTGCATGCATGGATTCGGAAAAGGATTTTATTGCAATCGAATCCACCGCCGCCTCAATATACATACGTCGCTCACTTGCTCATCTGATCGCGGGATAGTTGAGCGGAGGTTAGTAAAAACTTAAAGGGTCAAGTCTAGCACGTAACGTCTCAAAAATATATGGTCGTATAAAAATAAAGCTACGCCTATAGTTTTTAGCGCGATAAACGCTTAATTCTGACAAATGATATTAAAATCAGGTCACAATGTAACACCTGATCAAGGGAGATTGTTGTGCTGATGTTAGGATAATAAATGCTTGATCCTAACATTTTCCCGTCTACTCAATTTTAATCCGATCATCTCAGCTCACATTTAGGGTGTGTTTAGTTCGCATATAGGAATGGGAATCGGAATGTGTATCAAATACTTGGTAATGGTAATAGGTTTTGGTGAAAGTATTTAACATGTTTGATAGTAGGGTGGAATGGAAATGGTTACTAATAGTAGTGCTTGAGAATGAATAATGGAATGAAACTCTTATATTATTTGGGTATGGGTTTTTCAATTGATGGAGTATTCGAAACTCATAGTAGTGTTCTAAAAACCTATCAACCAAACAACAACAATCACTTTCATACCCATTCCTATAGGCAAAACCCACCAACCAAACACACCCTTAATTTTGATCTTTATTAGCTTCTTCAATTCATGACATGCATATATGCATTGATGAGAAGCTTCATACTAAAACTCAACGCTATGATATATGGAGCGAGCTGAGGATTCGATCCAGCAACCGCCAATACTGTATATTATTCCATGTAAGTTGACAATGAAAAACGGACAAACAGTAGTGACGAGTCGACGTAACTGTTCCAGAAGCTGTCTGGTCGAATAAATGAACATATACCCGAAATGAGTAATCAAGTAAGCAAAACATAATTTTTGTCTGAAAAAATTTTAAATTTGATTTTTGTCAATTCAGGTTTGACCAATCTTGTTATATCAAGTCTTTCATTCTAATGCAATTTACTTCTTTTATGTAATTTATAAACCATTATACATGCACAAATAAGAACAGAAAATTTTACTTTCGATCAAATAGTGATTGTGAATGTTTCGGCATCCAAAAATAGAATAAATGGACATATATATACTTCACCATGACTTTATTACAGAATTATTGCATATTTCTTAGATTCCATTTTATCTCGCCGCGCCCATTCTTCGTCCCTTCGCCAACACCGAGTATTATAACTAACTTTATTATAATTTCTCCGAAAGTTCACAACTAAACAAAGATTTCTCAGAATAGAATATAATCAAGAAAGAATTAGGTACCTACTAGCTAGCAGGTTAAGCATGCCGACATTCATACTACGATATATGTTTTTTTCTTCTTTTTTTTCTTTCTTTTTTCAGAAAAAAAATATAAATACGAACAATAACTCGTTACTGAGTCGACTAATTCACTGTAATCGTTTAATCAAGAACTTGTCTCAACTAAAAATTGGGCGTATTCATTCTAACTAGAGTTGTATATTTATTGTTTATATATATTATGCTCGAAATTAATTATTGTAATTTCAACAGGATATATCCCATAGCTAAGAATCTAAGATTGAGTTTTTGTTCTTCCATACATTAATTAATTAAATTTGGTCGGAAAGTTATTCATCTTTGTGATCGATTTCCATCTCCCCCTTTTAATTTGTGTTCGTACAAAACAGACGCCTTAGCTTAATTAAGGATTAATTTCATTAATTATTATATTAGCATATATGCTATTATGCTACATGTCCTACATTTGGTGTGAGTGTGTGTGTGTGTAATATGGAGTATTTTTCATATTTTTTGATTGGGTTCAAATTTATTTATTTTTTATGTGACCACAAATTTTCTAGATCAGTCAATTAGGGAACCACACATCGAGACTAATCATGTTCATGCTAGGTGACCAACGGGTAACTTATGTACTGGATAAACCATACAAGAAATGTTATAGCTTATTAGTAATTTAAAATAAGTTTATTAGTGGCTCAAAATAAGCTATAAGCTCCTAAATAAGCTCTGCCAAACAGAGCCTACAACCACACTAAGAAGACTCAATGTTTCCTCGATCAGTTAATTAGGACCACACATCGAGACTAACCATATTCATGCTAGGTCACCTATAACTTATCCACCCTCATTATGCAACCACTATCCGAGACTGTGCATTGGCTAAACTCAGTAAACACAGTATCGGAGATGCAAATTTCAAGAAGATTACAAATTTCAAGAAGATTACATGTACATACGACAAGCTCAACGTAACCAAGCTAGAGATCGAGAATTACAAGAGTCATGTTCTACCTACTGGGCGACCACCTTTCACGGTCTATTATAATATATGTGGATATACATGCATGGGTGTTAGATTGAATATATGTTAGCTAGAATAAAGGTTGAGGATCATATATATTATAATACCAATATTTTGGTTATCCAATAAATATCTGCACTTAATTAAGCTAATAAGTGACTTTTTCCTTTACTATATATGTATAAACATATTTTCGTTTACTTTTGATGATGAATATATATATATAATAGATTAATAATGTCATCCATATCGTCCATCCTTGAGCCCTATAAATAAGAGCAGCATGACGAATTCTTGAAAGCACCATCCAATCCAATCCAATCCAAGCTAGCTAGCGACCATACATATTTGTTTTGTTTAGCAGATTTTAAGGATTATTATCGATCGAAATGGAGAGAATTAGAGAGTTGTCGTCAAAGAAGGCGGCGGTGATCTTCACCAAGAGTTCTTGCTTCATGTGCCACAGCATTAAGGCGCTGTTCTACGAGCTGGGAGCCAGCCCGGCGGTGCACGAGCTCGACCAGGACGACGTCAGCGGCCGGGAAATGGAGTGGGCATTGCGGAGCATGGGCTGCAACCCTTCCGTCCCCGCCGTCTTCGTCGGCGGCCACTTCGTCGGCTCCGCCAAGGACGTCATATCTCTCCACCTTGATGGTTCTCTCAAACAAATGCTCATTAACGCTAAGGCCATTTGGTTCTAGCAGCACTAATTACTTACCTCCCTACTTATATATATATTATTACCCCGCGCTTATATTATCGACTATATATATATATACACCACAACTCGATCAACTATATATATATACTACTTGTCTTCTTGATATATATATACTTGTGTTGGAACAACCAAGTCAACCGTATATGTATCAAGATTTACATACAATTCGCCATGTTTTATACAAATGGCTACTAATCAAATGAAAACTAGTTTTTCGAGTTAATTCATTTTAAGTTCACTTTAATTTCCTCTATCTGATCTTGATCTCCTAGTTCATTATTTCTTGTACTCATGTTCAATAATATGCATGCATATGTATTAGGTATTATCACTTGTATTTGATATAATTAGGTATAGACGTCATAGATATAGTCATATTCAATACTATCCACTATATAAAAAAGATCTTAATTAATCATGAGTGTAATAGATGTGACCACGTCTCGTGAATGCTAGAGAACATATATAATAATATTATTATTATAAATGCAAGCATATACATGTAACCATTCATATTATGACAGTTTACACAACATATTATACATTCTTTAATTTAATATAAACAATATTAAACAATCTGTCTAATAGTGTTGACGCATTCAAATCAAGAAAACTGATAGGCAGCAGCTCTTTTCCAAAGTCAAGCTTGAAATATTGTGATTACTAAGCTAACAGTTAAATCATCTTGTTTGGAGTTGTCCCATAAATTGAATATGCTATCTTAGTTTGTCAAAATATAATTATCACCCAAAAGAAGGGGATTAATGAAGGAATATAATAGATCGACAGATTGAGATCAGCTCCTTAATTATCATTGGTTATTTGCTTGGAATCAATGCTAGCTTAGCTTTTTGGACACGTTATGTTTAATTAGCTTTAAGAGACATGATTAACCCTTAATTATCATGGAATGGATATGATTAATGCATAGTATCCATCCATAATTAGTTAATTAACTCAAGATGCAGGTGGAGAGTGAATCTTCCCAAGTCACAAAAATTCTCATGGTTCCACCACTATCACCAAGTTGAGATATAATTGATACTATATTCGTACCCATCACATATTCACATTCACATAAAAAGCAACTTCAACACAACAAAAATAATGTCCATTTCAACCCAAATATTTACTTTAATTTTCAAAAAAAAAAAAAACATTTAAGCATTACTCTTTCCACCAAAACTCAAAATTATCAAGGACTCGATCGATGACTGATAAGATGATCGTTCGTGAACAATAACATTCAATACTCCTATATATATTCTTGCTTGGCACTAGTTAGCTAGCTACCCATTCCTACTGCAAACTAGTTCAACAAGTATTCAAATCGAAACTCTAAATAACTTCACACTTAAAATAAAATAAAAAATAAAAAAAATAAAAAAAAAAGTAGAAGTTTGAGTCATACTTAATTAACTGTCACTATGCATTTCAGAAAGAGTCGATGTGAGATTGTAACATTGGATTGGCTCGTTAGTATTTCATTTCGGACAGCGAATCCCAGCCCGGGCGCATGCATGCAGGCCGACGTGAGTACGTTTCCATGAACGTGCATGAGCATGGATCGAGCTAGGCAGGCCACTGTGGCTATATATGGAGCATGAGGCCGGAAACAAATATATACGAAGTGAAGATAGCTGGAGGGAGGAGGCACGTGCAAGTCGCGTGTTAGAAGGGGCGCACTGTGGCAAGTTGAAATGGTGGGCCCGCGCAACGAGAATTAGAATCAAAGCCCGCAGCCACCAAAAGATTTTCTTTCGAATCGCAATCTTTTCTTCTATGGTATGCAGAATCTCCGTTATATTTGCGGCCCGCGGCCCGAATTCTACTCCCACATCTTCATTTTTATCCTATCCTATGATAGTATGATTATTCTCTTATTAAGGAAATTAACATACTATAATTGGCCCACTGCATTTTTTGTGGAAAGCAAACCAATACTCTCCACTATTATTTTTTCGAGTTAATTCAATGAATGGTATGTACTATTGATATTTATCAAATTTTATCTGTTGATTTTTAATTGGATTATAAATAGTCATTATTGATTTTGTTCTAAATTTAGACATTCAATTAAATATTTATCCGTCAAGATTATGTGGTCTAATGATACCCGGATTGAACTTTCATTTGGAAGATTGTGAGTTTGAGCTTCAGTGGAGGCGTTATTGGTTCTTTGTGTTTCAGTAGGTTGAGAGAGTATATGAACCGATACTACAATGTAATAGAGCCATATTCATTCGATAAACATTTAATTTAATAATAATAATGTAAAAATTAACTTGTTGTTGAGATGGATAAATTGAGTTCATAAATTTAATACACTAAGTTTATCATTGTGAAAAATTAAAAATTTTACATTATTATCTTTAAATTTAATGTTTATTAAAATGATATTTAACTAGAGGACCAAATCTAAGAAAAAAATCAATAGTCAAAGGATTACTTATGGTTAAATTGAAAGTCGATGACGAAAATTAATAAAAATCAATAGTCAAGAGACCATTTATAGTCCAATTGAAAGTCAAAAGATAAAAATTAATAAATGACAATAGTCAAGGGACCATTCATGGAATTAACTATGATTTTTTCTATTAAACCACCGCCTATTGTCTTGCTCTAGCCATTCAAATTTTTTTGTCCATCTATATTGGTAGTGGGAGTTTATACCCAAAATGGTCCCTCGACTATGTCATAATTACCAATTTGGTCCTCAACTACTATTCTTACCCAATTAAGTCCTCAACTATGTAACTTTTACTCAATTAAGTCCTCAACTATACAATTCTTACCCAATTTAGTCCTCTGTATTAATTTGACTGTTTGTTGACTGTCAAAAGTCGGGATAAAATTATAATTTTACAATATTTCTCCTTCCTCTCCATTTAGCAGCGCCAAACCATGCAGCAATACACTCCGATCAGATTTCGATCGTCAAAAAATCGTTGGAAATCAAATTCATGGGCTATCCGATGCATAACCACTACTTCGATACTGACAGGTTTAGAACCCAACCGGAGCTTATTGCTACATGGTTTAGCGCTGCTAAATGAGAAGGAATGAGAAAACTTGTAAAATTACAACTTTATTTCCACTTTTGACAGTCAACAAACAGTCAAATTGACAAAGGACTAAATTGGGTAAAAATTGTATAGTTGAGGACTTAATTGGGTAAGAATGATAGTCGAGGACCAAATTGGTAATTACGAAATAGTCGAGGGACTATTTTGGGTATTAACTCTTGGTAGTGGTGTTACACCGTCTAGTTTGACTATTTGACTAGTGATTAGAAATAGCAATAAGCATTCCGAAAGGGATGATCAAATGGGTAAAGTCTGCTTATCAGTTAAACCCATCACCCATGGCACCGTGTCTTTTTTGTGTAGTTTGCCCCTCAGCTCATCAGCCAATAATAACATCAACAACAACAACAACAACAATAAATTACGATGAGTATTTTTGAAATTATCAAATAATCCAAATGTTAGTTACAAATCTAATTTACTTTATGACCACAAATCATAAAGTGGTTGGAAATTTTAAACTTTTCCACTAGTTTCAGTCTTTCCAAAAGGTTGAACCCCAATCCTCCCTCACACCCCGGCCCGGCATCTAGGAGGATGTAAATCATGGTAAGTCAATTGAGGCCCTCACTTTGAGAGGTTGTTCCCATACTGCCGCCTATGCGGGCTTTTTCACTAGTTCATAAGTTGACTAAGAGATGCTAGAGAATGAATAACTAGACACTAAAAGTACTACTAGTCATGCACAATTTAGACTAAATGAGCATATATATATATATATATATATATATATATATATTATCATGTGACCATAAATCCATAATATATAACCCTTCATAGTCCATTCACATATCAGACCTTTTTCCACCGTACGTTCACAAGATTCTATTCAAATCTGACCATCAGAATATATACATATACCCTGCAACTTGCCCATGCTATGTGGAGCAGAACAGTATCTTTGTTCTTCAAAAGTGAATTCGACAGTTGTAAGGGTAAGAATCTATTATTTCCCACAATTATACTAAGGAGTATTTACAAACACGTACCATTTTATTAAGGAGTTGTTTGGTAAATAGTTGTTAATTGGGTTAATGAGTTTGACTAGTTGATAGTATTAGCTGATTGTATAAAAGTGTTCGATAATTAGTTGTTAGTTGATAATTGATTACATGCAAAATGACTTTCTCAAAAAGTTTATTGAGAAAACTACTTTGAACAGGTTTTTGAATTTTAGCATTTTGAAGCAATAAGTTGTTACAAAACACTAATTAATCAAATACTCATATTGGTTGTTTAACCAAGTCAAACAGCTAATAGTGATCAAATAAATCAAAATTGGTAAGCTAACTATGTTATCAAACATGGCCTAAGTCGATGATTATCTCATAGCATTCTTATGATTTACTTCTAGCAACAAGGTGAGTTTGACCCCTACCATAAACATTTAAAGGTTAGAGTTTGACACTTCGTGCACATAATAGTATAATTTGGTGCAAAATTTTGAAACTCATTGAAAAAAGGTTTATAATATTCAAGATATAGTCTTATAAAGCCAAAAAAACTAAAATTATTTTTTAAAAAAAATTAACTCAACCGTTTTTTTAGCTTTGGAACAACTATATATATTATATACTGTATTAATTCAATGCTAATTATACAAGGGCCAATCAAGTAACTATGTCAGTCTAATGCAATAGGATGAGGAAGGGGCCAAATATGGTAGCTAGCAATTTTGGGCATCTAAAATAAAGCACTTCAATCCATCTTTTGAATGTTCTTGTTTGAAAAAATGGTCTCCACCTTGAATGATGACTTCATTAGTAGAAAATTGCATTATCCCGAATCTTGCATTCTACGATTGTCATGTAAAGTAAAACTTTAACTACTTTTAAAATAACGGTTGAGTTGTGTCCCGTGCGCGGGACCTGTTTCAATTCCTTTTATAAATAGAGTAGCATGCCTAGACCATGCACCCCAATCCAAGTAGCCCTTCCATCAGCTATATATATCCACTCAACTTCCCATCTTGAATCTCATCATCAGATCAAGATCAAACCCTACCATCGGCTTCAAATCAGTCTGATTTGATCCGGTGGTGGGTTCTGATATATACATATACAAATACAGTCTGGTCGCCGGAATCTGATATATAAATATAAAAATGGCGGATAAGGTGCGGAGGTTGACGGCCGACAACGGCGTCGTGATCTTCAGCAAAACCACATGTTGCCTCTGCTACGCGGTGGACATCCTGTTCCAGGAACTCCGGGTGGAGCCGCGGGTGCACAGCATCGACCTCGATCCCGACGGCAAGGAAATCGAGAAGGCCCTGCTGGCCCTGGGCTGCGGCACTAATAATAATGCGGTGGTTCCGGCCGTCTTCATTGGCGGCCACCTCATCGGCTCCACCAACGAGGTCATGTCTCTCCACCTCAGCGGCTCCCTCCTCCAACTCCTCAAACCTTATCAGCAACTCCACCATTAGAGCCTCCTAGCTAGTATAGCTAGCTTCAACTCCGCCGCCGCCGCCGCCCTGTCCTAGAAGTTCCGACAATAAAGAAACTGAATCCATTATCCATATATATATATATATATATATATATATATATATATACATAGAACAGGAGTTGTGTCAGCTAACTTCTGTTTTTTTTTTTTAATATATATATAAAAAAAATGATTTTAAAATATAAAAATAATAAACAGGAAAATAAAAGTCTACAAAAAATGTACAACTAGTAGCTAGAAATTATAGAATTTGAATGGTTCTATGTTTCTTTTTTTTTTTTAAACCACGGTTCTTTCACCGTCCGTTTTACAATTTAAATCCATCCAACTAATTATTCGTCGCTCTGAGATGTATGAGAGCTGGCTCAAGAGAAATTATTACTTATGGGAATTAAAGTTTCAGGTTATTCATAGAATCGTCCCCACGAAGAAGCTTCATTGTCACTTAAGCTACCCTTTGCAGGGTTATGTTTCTATGTATCTATATATATATTCATCATCCATGCATGCCACCCTATATATATAAAGTAGAGATACCAATAAATGCAAGAAGATTATAGTGTGTCGTTTTATTTAATATATAATTTCTAATGCAGTTTATACATAAATAAATTGTATTTTGCAAATTCCATGAAGTAATATTGTATTTCTTGATTTTTTTTTTTTTTTTACAAAATCTAGTTCAAATTAGACAATACGCGCATGCGTCGTAAACGGCGAACACGTACTTCACGTCAAATAATTGATCATATATATAAGAAGATAAAATTATGGGATCCAGTTAAAGTTCAAATGAATTACGGAGTACAAAATTAGTCTCAATTTACGAAATATAGATACTATTGTAGTATTTTCAAAAAGGAAAAAAAGTGCATTCTCGATAAACTTGATTAATTTGTACCAAATTAGTGGATGCGGGTGGCAATTATTCTGCATGATCTATACTTTAGTCATCCTTATCATTGCTAGCTTTATATATATATATATATATATATATATATATATATATATATATATATTAGTAAAAAGTAATTAACACACTCTGGAGTATGTGAAATAAAGGTACTGTTTCGTAAGATAGTTAGTTTATAGTTAATTTTGGTTTATTTGACCATTATTAATTATTAGTTAAAAAATCAATATTGTTTGATTAATTAGCTTTTTGTAACTCTAAAATGCTAAAATTCAAAAAGCTGCTCAAAGAAACTTTTTAAATTAACTTTTTGAGAAAAGAAATTACACCAAACAGTTATCAGCTAACAACTAATTTACCAAACACCTTTTTACAATCAATTAATGTTATCAACTAGTTATACCATATAATTATCTCAATCAGCTAATAGCTAATGGCTATCAACTAACAACCATTATCAAACATGGCCAAAATCTTTTTAGGGGTCGTTTGGTTCACGGAATGTCAGATTACCTTAGGAATGTTAGATTGCTGGGAATGTTAGATTACTGGGAATGTTAGATTCCTGTGTTTGGTTAAAATTGGGGTATGTAATATAATCATGTTTGGTTTAGGGTTATCTTTTATACACACTATAATATCCTTAAGATAACCAAGGTTATCTTACATTACCTAAGATTTTGAAGGGAATCACATTCCCTTCAAAATCCTATGTGGAGGGAATGTGACATTCCTTGGGAATGTTAGATTCCCTAAGATAATATGAACCAAACACCGGAATGTGAGCTTTGGAATGTCACATTCCCTTGGTTATGTTATATAACCTGAACCAAACGCCCCCTTAGTGTGATTTACAACTCATGTGTGATTTGTGAGATATCCAAAGCAAGTTTTACCCAAATCAATGCAGGCTTAAATAATTGTTGCGAGTTTTTCTTGTAACACAAAATAATAATAATAATAATAATAATAATAATAATATATTATTTTATTATTATTAATCAATTAATCTATCTTAATCATGTTTTTGACCAATTCATACAGTTGGGGTATGTTAAAAGAGGGAATACGATTCTGCCACAATTTGAGATTTCAAAAGTAATTCTGCATGATCCATAGAACTTGGCTATATGCATATATGATTCTCTCTTGAGTCTTGATGTATATGTGTGTGTTCCAAGATACTCAAATTCTTATTTAGCGAATAAATTTAGTGAGAGATAGTAATTTATAAAAATAAAACAGAGTAAGTAACGGATAACGGGATCTAAAAGTCTAAAACTATCACCAAATCCATTAATAAAATGTAATCAAATTATTAATGAAAAAATAAATTTAAAAATAATACTATAATCAATTTTCAATAACTAAATCAAGAAATATCGCCTTTACAAAACATTTATTAATGGTTCTAAAAAGATATACGATTATAATAGACATTTAGATAGTTCTCGCTTTGAAAGGGGTGACCAAATTGGTTTCTTGTATGTGTTTCCTTTCTTTCTTCCAATCCATGCTTATGTTGTTCACGCTACTTCCACTGTCACATAAAAACGACGGCCGGTTGACATAGACCAGCCAGCTAAATGGACTAGACATTTGATAGTGTTGATCAATATAATTATGCAGGTTGAATCTTGACCATTTATTGTTCAATAATTTGTGCAGCTAGCTATTGTTTATTGTTGGCAGTTGGCCTTTCTGGCTGGCTTGAAGCCTTGAATACATTTGACATGTTTGTAGTGAAGCTGAATCTTCATGGCAGCTCAAGGGTTCTGCAGCAGCAGGAGCAGGTACAAAAGGTGGTTTTCATGATTCAATATATTTGACATGTTTGGTGCACTTTCCATTTGCACCAGCAACATTGTGTATGCAGTCAAGAAAACCAGCCCCTTTTTGTTGAGCATATAACCATTAATATGCAATTCAACTATCACTTTAAGGCTTTTAGTTGGGATGGAGCACATGTTTCAATTGTTTTTATTTTTGGATGACAAAGGGAAATTCCACACCCATTATTTGAGGGTGTAAACTAGGTAAATTAAGTTTTGTGATTTTAATCGGGCAAAGGACCACAAGAAAGTAAACTAGCCTCTGTTGTCCATACCTGATTAACTCAAATCAAAAAAATCAATAGGCTGTTCGCACTAAAAATGGAATTTGAAACTTTGTAATTACTAAACTAACAACTAGACCAGCATGTTTTTTCAAACACTTTTGTTTTTGAACAATTATTATACTATGAGTTATGATCTACTTTACAATATAAATCACTGATATAAGTTATACTTTTTAATGTACTAAAAATAAAAGTTTTAATATATTAGAGGTTCATTTATATTACGAAGTATTAAATAATAAATTTTCAATATACAATTATTATATCTTTAATATATTAAAAATGAAAATAGACTATAATTTTCTGCTTTCGAGAGTATAGTGTGAATGTATGTGTTGACCGTACTGTTATGTATGTAGGTGGTGATGTATCCATTGGAACCAATCCATTATAGTGTCCTTAAGCACAAGTGGTTTTTTTAATTGAATGTGTTGATTAGTGATTGGTCAGGACTTGAGTGAAAAGTATACCTTAATTTTTAATTGAATAAACTACAATTTATTGGTTGTTTTCAAGTTCAGGTGTAATTTGATATGAGTTAATATTTTTTAACACGTTATATTTCCTTAGACATTTTTTTGTAAGAATTTGATTTTCGTAATTATAATTTTAAAATAATTCAATTTTCATAATATTAAGTTTAGTATTAATATATATATATATATATATATATATATATAAGATTGTATTTAGAAGCTACATTAAAAATGTTATTAAACACAAGAAAATAATTATAAAAATTGTATAAAAATATTTTAAAAAATATCAATTGAACCAATAAATAATAAACCACATGTAAAATGGACATAAAGAAAATATAGTTATATATATCATGTTTGGTACGGATAAAACAATATTAAACATACTCTAGCTTTTATTTATTATTTGCTCTCAAGAAAATGATCAAATACATTTTCAAATTTTATCTAAGAAGTCAATTAAGTCATCAAATTTTTGAAAGTTACATATTAATTTAGTACATCAAAACTCCAAATCCTAATAGTGACATGTAATAGTAGGTCAATAATACACCGACAGAGCTCTAACAACATTCCGACAAGTGCGGCCTTTCTAACAAGCAAACGACTGAGATGGTGACCAACTGATTGCCTTCTCCATCGTTGGAGATGGCAACCAAACTAGTCATTTGGTCGCCGAAAAAGGTCATACTTAGAATGTTGTCAGAGCTATGTCAATGCATTATTGACCTACTATTGCAGGTAATTATTAGGATTTTAGACTTTGATGCATTAAATTAATATGTTAATGTGTCTAATTACAACTTTCAAAAGTTCGATGATCTAATTGACTTCTTAGATAAGTTTGAAGGTGTATTTGACAATTTTCCTTTGCTCTGTATTCATGACAAAAATGAGCTACAATTTTATTATTTATTTTTAATATACGAAAATATACTTATTATTTTTCATCAAGAATCAAGAAATTATTAAATATTGCCTAGATTTTCAGTTTTCTAGAGTTTGGCAAATTTGGCGCCGGTATGTCTCGAGCGGCTATTGCTGCGCTCTCCTATAAAATATAGTCTCCGCCTCGACCCCAAGACAATACAACAACGCCGCCTCTGGCTATGAATATGGAAGTCGGCGACGTCACCCCTACCGGCGTCCAACTTGATGATCAGACTGTTTCCGGAGAAGACTTTGGGAAGATGCTATTCGGGTACATACAAGCCGTATACATCCAGAATTCCTTTTTGAATTTTCTGTTTCACAAAATTTCTCTGAAAATGGCGTCTGATTACTGAATTACTGCGAATATTTTATTTTATTTTTGGTGCCGTAGATGCGAGCATTACCGGAGGCGATGCAAAATCCGAGCTCCCTGTTGCAACGAGATTTTCACTTGCCGGCACTGTCACAACGAAGCTAAGGTGTCCTGTTTACCCTAACCTTGCGCTTCTTTTCATGAAATGTGACTTTGGATAGGAAATTTTACTTATGTATTTCTTTGTGCCTTTTTTTCAACTAGAGCGGGTTGAGTGATCCTAAGGAACGTCACGAACTCGTTCGCCGTGATGTTAAACAGGTAGTGTTAGCGCCGATTCCTTTCTCGTTTCACCGTCGTTTTAGTGTATCTGTTCATTTATCTGCGGTTTAATGAAACGAAGTTGGCTTAATATTTTATTACAGGTTATTTGTGCCGTGTGCAATACAGAACAGCAGGTTTTTCAGTTGCTCCTCTTTGTTTGCCACTTTTATCTGACTTTCTAATTTCTATTGTACTTCTATGATCCTCTTATGTTTGCTTTTTCACACGTAGGTTGCAGGAATCTGTTTGAACTGTGGAGTCAAATTTGGGGATTACTTCTGTGAAATTTGCAGACTCTATGATGATGATGTAATGTTTCTGGTCTCGATCCTACTCTTTGTTTCTGAATTTAAGATACTGCACTTGACACTTGAGTGTTTTTGCACGAAATGTTGTGATTAAATTAGTGCCTGTACACTGCTAAAACTTCCTTTGGTAGTGAACTGTCTTCCATGTAACAAAGTAACAATTTGATTGTTAATGGTCTAAAAGTAATGCAATTCAGACATTTTGTTAGCTTTAACAATCAAGAGGCTGGATAAGAAGAGTTAGACAATCCAATAACCCTATATTTTCTTTTGCTCCACATGAAAAGTACAATACAGAACAATTGAAGTCACTACATATGTTTCCTACCACATTCTCATTCCTATTCTGATCTCTACAAATATCCATGAAAGCCACCCTAAAATTGTAGCCTAAACATAACGTGCCTTGTATTCCAGCTCTCACAATCTCACATTGTTCCTTTTAGAAAGAGAATCATCTTTCACCTTCCTTACATGTTGTGTCCTTCTCCCCTAGATCCTTTTGGATTGCAATTTTCAGAAACCAAGCTTGCCAATTCTTAGAGTTGCACCTAGTGTCATCCATAATTCATAAATTATAGCACATGAAGTTCACATATTGTATGATTTTCCCCTTCTTGTTAACCCTATTTAGGAAAGGCAGCCTTGAAAGTTGCTCCCTTTAAATAACATTTTTCAACACTACAAATATTAGTCTCTGAATGTAGGATTCTTGTTATGCATTCCACACGGGGACTCTAATAGTCTAATTAATGTAGTTCAGTAAAGTAATGAAAAGGGAATAAAGGAAAACATAATGTTGTTGAATTGGCTGGTAGAAGATGATCTTCAGTTTGCATACAAGGGGAGGCCCGGGCCCCTTTACCCATACACTTTACTGAGTCATTCTGTTAAAACAGCTAAATACATGGTTTTAAATCATCAGATGTTAAAACCAGATCCTACTTTTTTTCTTCCTTTTTTTTGCACTGTAGACAACAAAAGACCAGTATCACTGCAATGAATGTGGGATCTGTAGGTAAGTGGGTATATTATCTTGGAATGGCCATTCAGTTTGCATTTGATTTTGTTTTTTTCCTTTTCTTAAATGAACTTTTTCCCAATCAACATGCATCTTTAATTTATCATTTTGATATAAATGTTCACTGTGCAGGATTGGAGGTCGTGAAAACTTCTTTCACTGCCAGAAGTGTGGTACGCTGTGTACTGCTTGGTTCAATTTTTGATGTTCTGGATTTGGATTCTATAGCTTTCAGTTTAATTGTTGTTGTCTTTACAATTCTGTGTTTAGCAACTCATCACGTAATCTTTCAATTAGAACAGCAGCCATCACAATGTGGTATTAATACCGTCAATAGTAAATTTATAAAAAAGAATGTTGGATAATTAATATTTACATGCATTTTTTTTCTAGTGGTGATGGTTTATGTGAGTAAGTATACTAAACATTATTTTTCAACAACATTTTAAAGAAAGAAGAAAATGATGAGGGAAAAGTTTCATATATTGCACAGGTTTCCCTGCTTTGCTAAATTGTGCTGAGTATTTGGCTGCATCTCTTTAGAAAGTTTATTGTATGTTTGATCATTGATGTGGCACGCAAATTGTCAACTTGAAGCAAACTGACTGTTTTTAACTAAACAAAGCCTTAAGAACCATCAGTCAAATTCCTTTTGGCTTCTTCATTGTATTGTGCAAGCTTCTTGTGTTTATGACATTTTAATCCTCAGTGGTGATTCCTATGTTGCTATCATCTATCATCTTTCTTGCTTTCATGGTTATTTTTTGTGGGTGGGGGTTTTTTCTGAATATATTAATTTTCTAGATTGCCTAGCATCATACCCGCTGTTTATCCATATATGCCCTTTCTAACTCTGAAATCAAGTTAACAGGTTCTTGCTATTCGGTGGGTTTGCGTGATAATCATTTGTGTGTTGAGAACTCAATGAAGAGCTACTGCCCCATATGCTATGAGGTTCAAACCAATACATTTATTTTTCTATCTTGGGGTACAAAACTTATTTTCTAAGAGTGAATCTGTCGTCTGCTGCCAGTTTCTTTTTGAGTCGCTGAAAAGCACAATGATCATGAAGTGTGGACATACTATGCACATGGACTGTTATAGAGAGATGGTTCACCAAAATCAGTTAAGTCAGTTCATAATTCTTGTCTTCCATTCCTCTCTCTCAGCTAGTCAATCAGCAGGTATCTTATATTAGATTTGAGTACAGGTACAGATGTCCAATCTGCAGCAAGTCGGTGCTCAACATGTCCAGAACCTGGGAAATATTGGAGGAGGAGGTACAATCTTTCTTTTGTGCTCTTTCTCGTTTATCATATACTTGTATGTGTTTTGATACGTGGATGCTATACTTTATGGTTTATTGTATAGATTCAAACTACAGTGATGCCTGAGGAGTACTTCTATGAAGTAAGTTTCCTTTTGTGAGAAAATTCAAATGTGGGGCCTCGCCAACTGTTGTATAAACATCTCTCAATGTTAAACTTCACAGGTTCCAATCCTCTGCAACGACTGCAACAACACCAGTACCGCAATTTTCCACATTCTCGGCCACAAATGCAAGCACTGTAGTTCATACAACACCCGCATGGTAAAAGCCGATCGCCAATGACCCTTTTATGTGGATCACCAAAACGGGATTTACGTGTTGCTAGACTCAAAGTTGAGTGGCATCTGAAATGTATCTTAGTCTGTGTTATGACAAAAAATCATGTCATATCTAATGTCTCTGATTCTCTCTCTCCTTTTATAAGACAATTTACAATTTACATTAATCAAACTTGTCATTTTCAGGCAAAGCTTTCATGTTTATGTGATTATTGTTTGTCTGATGCCTTTGTTATACCCACTTTGCATATATTCTTAGAGTCTGATACTCTGATCTGGATGAAACGTGCTGTCTCTGGGCTATCCAAAACTAGAAAGTTTTTTCCTTTTTTTTTTGGTTAAATTTATTTATACTCTCAGAAAAGATGTACAGATAGGTGGCATTGGCCCATTGCATTAATATTGTGAACTACAAGGTAGGTATCTCCAACTAAGATTTCTCGTCGGTATTCAGTACTACATACTGAAGTCCTCAAATTTGACGTACATTTCCCACGTGACCAGTTACTACGTCGTAAAGGTCCTTAATTTCTTCCACTCGCCGGAGAACGGAGCACCACAAAGCTGATTCAGAGATTCTTGTTGTGAAAAGCAGTAAGGTTTATCAACTCTCTCTTTCTTTCTTTGTGATTCTGACAAGTTGTTTGCAGCAAAATATGCTCACGCATGCCCTCTCCGTCAAACCAGCTTTTATTTGATTCTTCATCGGAGAATAAGTTGTGTTGCGTGCAGAGATGCTGAAAGAACGACATCGGCTGTGTGATTTCTGCGGCTACTGCACGGCGGTGTTGTACTGCACAGCAGATTCAGCCAAGCTTTGCCTCTCTTGCGACCGGGAGGTGCACTCCACCAACCAGCTCTTTACCAAGCACACCCGCTCCCTGCTCTGCGACGCCTGCGATTCCTCCCCTGCTTCCATTTTCTGCTCTATGGACGCCGCCGTCCTCTGCCATACCTGCCACTGGGAGTCTCACAGCCCCGCCCTTTCACCACCGCACGACTGCTGCCCGGTTGAACAGTTTTCCGGGCGACCTTCCCTGAATGAGCTGCTGTTTGTTCTTGGGTTTGAAAATGTGAGCAAGAAGTCCCTTTTGTCCGGTGATGATGCCGACAACGATGAGTATTTGGATTATCTTGTCTGGGACACTCCTTCAGGTGTAGATGACTACGACGTCCCTCTCCCAAAGGTTTCAATCAATCCCACTTCTTTGCACTTAATGATCATTTTTTTGGTTTTGGTTTGGAGATGGAATGAAAGATCTTGCTGTTTACTATTAACTATTGCAGAGACTAACATTCTTGATTGTGTATATATATTTGTTGTGGAGTCCAGAATCAAAATGCTGCCTGCGGACAACACAAAGCTGACATTCTTTGTCAGCTTCGTGACATGTTGAAATTGGAACCAAATTTCGCCACCGAGGATGAAGATTTTGAGCCCATGAGGAGCTTTCAGTCCATGGAACCTAAGAGCACAGAACTTAAACAGAAGGTGGAGTCAACATTAGTTCCTTCTTCAGAAGTAAAGCTTCTCTAATCCTAGAATGATAGAACATAAGTTTATGTCAATTTTTATAGTTTCTATGAACATACATTATCATTCCTAGATTAAAATGTTAAATGAATCTAGAACTGCAAAAAAAAAAATGTTGTCTGCATGCAGGCAAGTGGTTTTCAGACCAGCAAATTTGTGGAACAAGGAATTGCTTCTTCCTTGTTTGGTGGATTCGTGGAGACAAACTGCTTAGTTCCCGATAAAGATTCAGACACTGGCGACGGTTCAGTTCTAGCAAACGATCACAGCAAAGGGCAGTCTCAACATTCTTCCATTACCGACACCATGCAAGTGCTTCCTAGAGTTGCTCCTCGCGAGCTGAACAGCCAGGAAAGAGAGACTGCTATTACTAGGTACAAGGAGAAAAGAAAAACAAGGAGGTACTAATATAGTATTCTTGGATGTTTTGCTGTCATGCTTGTCATTTTGTATTATTCTCCTATCATCACCATTTTTGCCTGAGTTTTTCATCTGCATAACAATAACAGATTTGAGAAACAGATAAGGTATGAGTCGCGCAAAGTCCGGGCAGAGAGTAGGGCTAGAATCAAAGGGCGTTTTGCCAAGAAAGATCAGAGAGACACTGCTATTCATGGATGATTCCCTGATACATAAGTTTTGTCAAAGAGATTGTTACAGTTTCAGTGGCCAGAAGCGCAGCAATCCTAGCTGGAATAACCAAGAAAAGAGTGCGAGCGGTTTCTTGTGGTTGACAGGTACAAATGGTTAGGTTGTTTATCAACTGTAAACTGCCTGAAATCATGTCTTTTTTCCATTGATGCTAATAACCTATGGTAACACATCTTAATAAAGCAGTTGATTATGATGTACATCCTGCATTTATAGTGTCTGAAGTACAATGTGCTTACAAGGATGACAATTTCGATCCGCCTCGTGGGTATCCACTCGAATCCACCCCGCATGTATCGGGTTTTTTGGATGATAATGAGTGTTGGGTTGGGTGGGTCTACCATGTATATATATAGTAAATTAAGTACGAGTTTGTGGTTACTTCTGAAGCACAAAAAGCCAAGAATGCCTCCACTGAGGCTCGAACTCACAACTTTCCATATGAGAGTCCAACTCAGGTGCCATCTAAGCACAAGATGCTTGGCATACTAGTCTATAGTTAATTAAAAAGGTTTCTAGAACTTTTATTTATTTTTTATTATTTTTAGTTCTAAACTAATAAGTTTATTTTTAAAAAATTAACAATTTAGTTACTCCCTAACTCTTTCTTCTTTGTTTATTAGAAAAAATGTCAAATAGGCCATCGAACTATTACAGGGCGTTTGGTTGAAGGGATTTTAAATTCCTTTCCCACTTAATTCCCACCTAATTCCAAAGGCCACAAAATTCCCTTGTTTGGTTGAAAGGAATTGCAATTCCCCCATTTTCATGGAATTAAAATCCCATGTCCCCCCCCCCCCCCCCTTGGTATTTTAATTCCTGGGATTTTAGGAAGAAAAAAAGATAGTGATGAGTCAAAATTACCCCTCCCTTTTTAACCTAAAATTAATGTTTAACAACAACAATGGACATTTTGGACTTTATACTACTTATTCCCTTTCAATTTTCATGTATACCAAACATTGGAATTGAAATTCCCGGTAATTCTATTCCTGTCAACCAAACATTGGAATTTAAATTTCCACTTTATTCCCAGTAATTCATCTCCCATAGAATTACAAATCTTTTCCCACGTAATTTCCCCTCTCCAACCAAACGCCCTGTTAGTGTTTGTGTAATTGGTCGGTCCATTGAACAAAAAAAGTGTATAATTAAACTATTTAATTCTATAAATTTGTGCGAATAATGTTTTTAGCATGTTGTTTTCAAGTTAAGCAGGTAAGATGAATGATATATCCGACAATTTTTAATATTTAAATCAATTTACTATGAATTTAATATTAGATGAAATCAATTTACTTTGAAAACAGTTAGCCGGAAATTATTGACATCCCCTCCGTCACTCTCTCCCTCCCTACTCGTATATTTATATCTTCCTTCTCTTCACTATGAATCACCTTGTTATTAATGTTACTGCTTTCAGCTTATTATGGTATTTACTGGGAGTTACTGAAGATGAAAGGCAATGGAAGTGTGAAGCAATCTTATCAACAAGGTAATAGTGTTGTTAGTTAATGAGCATATAAATAGCTGATGAACCAGGGAAAAGAAAAACACAATCAGATGCTTAAAAAGTGAACTGTGGCTGTATCTTCTTCTTCTTCTTTTAAAGTATTTTGGATGAGTTTAGATACAGATTTACGAGATTGTAAGAGTCTTTCCGGCGAAGTGTTTAATGGTTGGAAGTAAATTGATTTGATTTAATATTAAATTCATATTAAATTGATTTAAATATTAAAAATTGTCACATAAGATACTATATCATTCATCTTTTACATATTTAACTTAAAAGTAACCTGCTAAAAATGTTATTTGCACAAGTTTAGAGTTAAATTGTTTAATTGTCCACTTTTTTGTTCAATAGTCTAATTACACAAATATTAATAGTTCAATAGCCTGTTTGACGTTTTTTCCTTATTTATTTTCTTTAGTATTTTTTTTTTAATTTAATAGTACTTTTAGTATAGTTTCTAAATATATAAATATAAATTTTGTATACTAATACTAAATTTAGTATTATGAAAAATTCAATTAAAAATAGCATCGTTAATCGAACTAGACATATAAAATGGGATGGATGAAGTATTTATATTTGAATACTTCTATTATTTTATGTTTTAATATAACTAGTAAATTTTATTATTTTAATATGTGTATGCAATTTAAATATTAAAAAAAATTTAATAGGATAATAAGTTGAGGGTACCTGCACCCGGTGGGGCAGGGGTGGATTTTGAAAATATCCACTCGATATGGGTTGGGGGTGGGTGCAGAAAATAAAATGTGAGTTGAAAATACCCACTCCTGACCCATTGTCATTCGTACTCGCAAGTAGTAAGATAAGAAGACAAAATGATTCGAACATCGACATGAAGATCAATAAATGCGATATATTCTTAAAAGCCTAATATAAAATATGTAAAGTGAGACAAAAGATATATATTTCGAAACTCAAGCTTTGTGTTTAATTGGTAGGCAAGTTCCCTTGCCATTTCAAAGAGAGAAGTTCCTAAGTGTATGACATTAGTTTTAATTAGATCCCACTCTTCTCTATAATTTAGGTTTTTCAATTTAGGTTTTTCAATTTCATTGAATTGTCTTAAGAACTTGCACTAAACCCATAAAGGTAAATCAAGTTAATATACTCTCAAGACTAAATACTAAATTATACATTTCTGCACACAAAAGATCAACCCAAATCTCCAATATTGAATAACAGGAAATGAGGAATTGAACCCCATTCTCATTTCCAATCAACTGCAATAATTCAAAAATATAATACTCTTATTAGTTTCCATCATCATTCAAAAATATTTAATATTATTTTCTCTTCAACTTTTCTTCTTCTTCTTCTTCTTCTTCTTTTTTTTTTTTTTTAAATTTCTAGGTTCTTTCTCCATTCTTCTATTCTAAACAAAAAGTTGAAAATAAAGAAAAACAAAAGGGGGGGATCCCCACTTTGATGGACGTCTGCCATATTGTGATGTTTAGCATGGGAGATATTGTTATAGGTAGGTCTTGCATTGTGTAACACTACTTGAGACTTTCTCCCCAAAAAATCAATTATTAAACAATAATGTAGACCATGCATATATCTATCTATTCATGGCATAGGGCATAACACAAAAGCCAAAACACATTGAATGGTCATATCATTTCTACTATACAAAAAGATGCAGAAAACACACTAAACTCCTACACCAGACAATAGAATGTGTTATCATAAAGTCTCCAAATAAGATAAAATCAATACCAACATTGCACAACCACATATCTTGGATACGACGGCCGCCAATAGAGGCAAGCAAATGATGATAATGTAACTGTAACAACAAGTTATAAACTCTAAATTTTCAACAAATTTCCAAAAACACCAAAAAAGTTCTTCGCTTTTTTGTTTGCATTGAAAACTCACCTACCTTATATTACTATTGATAATGGCATGGACTATTTTGTCATGGTGTTTATGTTCTCATCCATCCTACACAGTGGGCATCATGAAAATCATTGTTCTATACTATTCTATTGCTTTAATATGTGATTAAGTTAATAAAGTTGTTATTGATTAATCTCACTCAAATTAAAGGATTAAACATAAGATAAAAACTGTGGAATTTAATGTTAAAACGTTGCAAATGAAAGACAACATAAGATGTTGGACAGAGTTTTGGATTTGACAAGATTTTGAAGCAGTAGGCAAGGCAAGTTGGGCAAGTACAAAACAGGCTTTCGTCACTTCAATTCGTACACATTTCTCCAACTTTTTTGACCAAATGAAATCATTACTCCGTTTACATCCCTAAAGCCCCAATTTAATGCCCACTACATATTCTTGCCACTGGGAAAAGAATTATAATTATAAAGTGAAAATTTAAATTACATTGTTTAGTAAACATGAATATAATTATGGGGAATCGAAAGGAAAGAAATGAAACAAAATTAAAATGTATGTAATAATAAGGATAAGGGTAAAATAGTCATTTACTATAGAATTACAATTTCATAATTCCTAGGTGGGACCCTAAGAATTGTAATTCCATGGTTGGAACCCGAAGGGCAAACCATGAAATTACAGTAGGAATAAAATTACAATTTCATCCTACCAAATACCCCATAATGGTTTAGGTTTGAGATAGATTTTGTGTGCAAAAAATGTACAGTTTAATTCTAACTTTAAAATTAAATTGGCTCAATTCACTTCTTCACAAGTCTGTGTACGAATTTATAGGGTTCAATATATACATATATATATATATATATATATATATATATATATGTGTGTGTGTGTGTGTGTGTGTGTGTGTGTGTTCACTAGCCTCGTAAGGTAGCAAAATGGATGAAGTATAACTATGTCACAAGTTCGATTCTTGTCAACATCCTCTTGGTCAAATTCATTGCTCTCTTATATTTTTTTTTTTTTTGAATGCCATTGCTCTCTTATATAATTTGCAAATTACACCGTATTACACAATAGTGGAATAATGGTTTAGCATTTTTCTCATCACCCATAATATAATAATAATAATAATAATAATAATAATAATAATTTATTTGCTGACTCGTCAATTCATAATCTCATGTGAAAAGTTGGTTAAAGAAAAAAGTAAAAGAAAAAAAAAAAGTGAGATGAAAGAAATAAGGTGAATGACAGTAAAGTTAGCAGTAAAGTCAAAGAGGATGATGAATAGAGAAGAGGGAAAAAAAGCAGGAATGGGTATGGGAAGAATGAAGGTTGTGATGATATGTATGTATGTATGCCATGCATGATGCATTGCATTATCAACCAATGAAGAAAAAGGCCTTTTTCTTTCAATCCTTTTAACTGTATCACTGTACCCTCTCCCACATCTTTTTAGATTTGCAGAATGATAGCAGAGACACAGATTGACTAATGGTATAGATCACAATAATGCAAATATGGCTCCCCTCTCCTCTCTCTCTCTCTTCTTGCTTTTACTTTCTGCCCCTCCCACTGTCACTCCCAGTATTATTGCTTTTTTCACCATTTTCCCCCTTCTCTTTTCATCTCAGCCTCACCCACTGGGCCTTTTCTTTGCTGGGTTTTTGGGTGCAGTGTATGCTGTGTTATTGTCTGTGTCTTCCCTCCTGTCACCACCCTCCAAATCTTTAAACCCTCCAAAGGATTGAAAAGTAAATAGCCAAATGCAAATGACAATCTCGAAAGGATTAAAAAGTAAATCGCGGGATGTACCTCAATGATCAGTCGTAGTAATTCTATTTTAGATTGGTCAACCAGTTGAGTTGTGTCGGTGTCAGGTAGTGACAGTCAAAGCAAAACTCTGAACCCTATTTTGGATTAGTCGACCAGTTGAGTTGTGTCCCGAGATTCCATTTCCTATGTCTCAAAGTCACTGTCACACTGCAATGAAAGCAAACCTGTTTAAAGCAAAAGTATGTTCAAATTGACATTAACTTCTGCAGAAACATTCAAATGTGCAGAATTATAAAGGGGGCTAAGTAATCCATGAATCATATATATACCTTATGACATAAGTAAATTTATTGAGACATTATGGAACTCCAGCTGAAGAATATTCATCAATGCAAACCAACAAACAGATACATAAAGATATGCAGAAGTCTGCGATAGTTACAATGGTGAATGTGCCGAGGAAAATGAGAGTAACTCTAACTGATACAAACACAGAAATAATTGTCTTGAATCTTTATTACTTTGTAGTTAATAAGTGCCTTAAGACTAGCTCAGCTCGAGTACAAAACAAACTGGCATTAGAACTCTATAGCCTCCCCGTCGTTCATTCAGCAGCTTCAACCTCCCTCCCGCCTGCTGGCCCTGCCCCGTACTCTTCAGCCATGGAGGCAACCCTCTACTCCTCGAGTCCTCGTTCTCTTCAACCACAGAATGTGTCACTTAATGTTTCATTGTTATGTGAACCTTAAGAAAACCTCAATGCTGCGTCTTCGTGCATTGTCCAAACAAATCCAGGCGTATCGAACCTTGGACCTGCAACTGTTCGGTAAATGTAGAGTTTCTCGACAGGGTCATCTTCTGGCCTTGAATTTGGAGGGCCCCTCTCATCTATAACTTCGACGTTAAGCCTAGGCATCTTTTGGCCTAAGAGCTTACATGCTCTAAAACTTACTGAGCAAGAAGACATCCAAAGGGATCGCATTTTCTCCAGCTTTGCAGCATTGGCCAAGAGAGCCTTATCCCCGAAAGGGCAGTCTCTGATCTCCAACTTCCGCAGGCTTTCACACCCTGATAGCACGTAATGGAGGCCCAGATCATTATCCCCGGCAAAAGCTATAGAGAGCATCTCTAATTTCTTAGCATGACTCCCGATGTACTCAAACACCCTATTAGTGAGCAGACCAGAGAGGGAAAGCCGCCGCAAATCTTTGCAGTGTTGTACAATGGCCCCAAAACCAGTATCTAGAGGTTCTAGGGTAAGATAATCAGGAGCTCGAGGCTCTATAATGCAGAGACGGAACCGGATCATATTAGGGCGGTTCCGAGCAATCGCATCTAGTGCTGCATTTGTCATTTGGCGGCAAAAGTATAATACTGACTGCAGCTTGGGGCAGCCCTCGGAGACAGCTACAAGACCCTGCTCTGTCAAAATTACATTCGGATCCGCTCCAAAAGGGTCAGATGGGAAAACTCTGAGTTCTTGAAGATCCTTACAAGACGCAGCAATAGCCTCTAGACCAATATCTTCAATGTAATCCAGTACCTGCAGTTGCATATCTCTCGTGAGTTCAGGGATGGATAGTAAGCGGCTAGAAGAGCTTCATCTAGCATGGATAATAAAAACAAGCTGTTCAAAAACACACAAGTAGTACTCTCTATAAGATATGAAACTGTTTGTGTGCATTAATATTTTGATAGTGGCAATATCCTTCCCTAACCGTTGGATGATATGGATATACAAGGATTAATAATAATAAAAAAGCAAATCAATATAGAAGAAACACATAAAGCATACCCATAGCCGCTGCAAGTTGTGACACTGGCTTACAAACTTGAAAAGATCCGGGCTTTGAATAGTAGCATAGCTTAAATTCAAAGACGTAATTCCATAGCAGACTGGATATATTGCTGGAAGGTAAGCAGGAGTCACGTCCCAAAACCCAGACAAACCCTTAAGTTGTTTACAGCCTGAAAAAGCATCTGCCAGGTTGGAAAATGTATCGGAACGGACCTCAGCCGAGAGGGCACCTGTGCCCAACTCAACCAACTGGGGAGCACGGCGAAGAAGGATGTGAAGCTTCTCTAGTGGGAGGGCACGGTTGAGGCGAAGCGTCCTTAGATTAGGACACCTGGAAACCAATCGCTCCAGAGCTGAGAAGCTCACCTCACAGCTCAAGCAAGTTATGTCAAGAGACACGAGCGACGTGCAGTTCTCAGAGATATGACTAAGCCAATACCCACTTAGGTCCTCCACATCACACTCCCGCAGGTTTAGTTCCTTCAAATTCCTGCAACATTACACGATTACTAATTGAACTGCAACAACTTAGCAATGCACATCAAAAGCAATGTATCAAAAAACTTACAAACACTCCATAAAATAGCAAATATAGTATATTTTTATTAAAAATGAAATCAAGAACTTCTCAAAATGTTCCCTAACTCAAAGAATGGAACCGAAACTAACATAAAACTCTTGCTATTTTTAGAGTCACTAGAGAAACCCGCAACCACTACACATCACACAAGAGTGTGCAGAAGGCCAATAGGTCGGTCCCACCGCCCAACGAGGGTGAGAAGGCCAATAGGATGCTCTCGTGCTCCCACGAGAAGGCCAATAGGCCGGTCCCACAGCCCGATGAGGGTGCAGAAGGCCAATACGATGCTTCCACTATGAGAGGAGGCTAATAGGTCGCTCCCATGGAGTCGAACTTGTAATACCAAGTCAACAGCTCCAACATAAATCTCATTCAGTCCTTCAATTAAAGGTTGCTAATAAATGCAGGTATAGATAGAACACTATATTCAAACTCCTATCTGAAAACAATAAAATGAAAGGCCCAAAATTTTGAGTGAAAAAATACCTAAAACTCTATTTGTTGAGTAAGATAGTGAAGCAAAAATAGCGATGTTCCAAAAGTTATAGGAACTTTACTCCACCCACTCCAAACACAAACAAGACACTCAACTACGCACCGAAAGATTTGAAACTTCAGCAACATTAGCGTCTAAATTTATCCCTGAAATGAAGCGTGAGGAAATATTGACCGACCTGCAATTGGCGGTTATGGCGGCGAGTCCATCCGTAGTGAACCCCTCGCAAAACGCAAAGACGAGGACCTTGAAGTTCTTAAAGGACCTGGCGATGAGCTCCAAGGTCTCGTCCGTGACGACCATTCTCTTGAGCCTAATCTCCTCGAGCCAAGGGTACGCGCGGGACATGGCGACAACCCAGGGGAAGACGAAGCCGCCCCAGTTCTCCGGAACCAGATTGAAGTCCGCGAAATGAGGCTTCCCCTTGAGCTCCAGCGATCGGACCTCCGGGAAGCGGCGGATCATGATGCTAGGGCTCACGGCGTAGCAGTTCCCGACGAATATCCTCCTCCGGCACCACCTCTCGATCTCGAACCACGACTTGCACACCAGCGACACCGCGTTCCGGTCCTTGTCGGAGCTCAGAAACGAGAAGACGTGCTCCAACACTTCCTCCGGGAACGAGTACGCCATTGTACGGTGCAAAAGGTGGGACACAGGTAATTCCAGAGATGAACTCCTTGGCGCTCGGATCAGTGCTCGTGAAACTTCAGATCTGAAGCCACATTAACAAAGCTTAGATTTGCTGAGGAGAGAGAGAGAGTGAGAAACAGAGAGAGAGAAACTGCAGAGAAGATAAGGTTTTATTAGTAAGACGTCCATGTTATGGTGATGACTGATAGACTGGGTACTGCGGTCAAAATCTAACCATGGTTAACATTATAGTCAAGTGGCTTGCGTGGGGACCATGCCTGCACCCTTGTGGGGCTTACACGTGTCCCCCCACTCCATTTATTGCCCGTCCGATTAACGCCGTCGGAAAATCCAACCAGTCACGGCTTATCCCTTCCCTGCAAAGCCCAACCGCTGATATCATCCCTTCCCACCGTCAACATGTTACAAAACTAAAACTTTTTTTTTTTAAACGCTATTTAAGTTAACATTTCAAAATAAACTCTTATTTTAAGCTATAAACTTATTTTGAAAATATTATTAACTAAAATTTATAATTTATTAGTAGCTTAAAATAAGTTATAAGCTTCTAAATAAACTATATCAAACAGAACATAAACTTATTACTCATGAGACTAATGAGATAAAAGCCAGTGATCTTATGTTCTAGTGGCACGAAGTGACTCTTTCGAATGAGAAGTTATGGAACCGATTCTTAGTGGGGACGGTGTTGATTTTTTGTGCTGCATATTGACCAAACTAAAATAAGAAAAAGATACTCAATAACTTCGAACAATTGGTGAGAGAATTATAAATCATTCAAAATCCTTGTTAAGATAACAATCAATCAACTAAAATTAACGAAAACAAATCAAGTAACTTAATCAGTGAGTTACTAATACAATTAATTGTAAGGTTAGAGGTTTAGTTACGGAGTGTAGGTAATTTCGTCTTTTGTGAATAAGAGATTCGGACATGTCACAAGGTAATTGATGAGGATTAGGAGGGGTGATTATCTAGGATTCTGAGAAGGGATTTGAATTCAATAATTATGGGATTAAAATGAGGGGGCTGATGGCTGGTAATAATTGTTCCAACTCAATGATAAGCAGCACTTGTTCAGCTGCGAATTTACTGCTTAACAGCGACCAAACAAAAGTAGCAATTATTGTCATCACAATTCAAACCATTATTGCTACGATGATGTTAATTAATAATGCTTCCTTTTTTTCCCAATCTTCAATTTCTCACACCAAACCAATAAATTTGTCACATCACAAGTTCGGTTTTATTTGTTTTTAAAAATTTGAATCCCCAACTCCAGACCCATGTAAATTCAGTAACTCAGCTAAGCGTACAATGAGCCCTCCTCAAAGTTACTCCCACATTACTGCCGGTGAAACTCAATCTCGTGTCATTGTTCTCAAATTTTACACATGTGACCATCTGAGTTGTTCATGCGGGCAGAGTTCGATTCTTATCAATCTATTATCGGTTGATCTCGTTGCATATGTTTTTTTAATATGCTTTGCAAGTTATTATACAATAACGGTGTTTATTTAATGTTCACTATGATAGTGATTGCGGGTTCCCTCGTCAAAAAATAATAATAATAATAAATCATTCATACGCCGAGCCATATTTGATACACCCTCATAAATGACAACTAAAATATTTTAAGAAATAATAATTCCAAGTTTATTCATTTTGGCATTTACAGCAACCTACCATGATACCATATTCCCCCCATAATGTATGTAGCCACCCCCACACACAAAAAGAAAAAAATTGTCACAAGAGAAAGAAAAAAAAAAAAAAACAATGCTTAATACTTTGGTGGGTATAATATAATATAATATAATATATATATATATATATATATATATATAGTCGCCGGTCGTCGAATTTTTGTCGGAGATGATGTTGGAATCAAAATGACCTGTAATAGCATGTTATTTATTAATATTTAAACTTTATTGCATCAATATAACATGTTAAATTGCGTAATTGCACTTTTAAAAATTTAGGAAACTAATTGACTTTTCAGGTAAAGTTTAAAGACTTGTTTGATCTTTTTTCTGATATTTTAATGAGACACTTAAAAAATAATCATGATAATTTTAGACTAAAAGATAAAAATATAAAACTTGTAGCCTTATGAACAAATAAATAATTGAAGGCAATATTGCAAGAATTATTGCAAGCACGTACATGTACGGTCTGTATAAACATCAAAGTACTTCATACTATACTAAATATACGATGCTGACGACATTATAAACAGTTGCTAGTTTGCTACCTTTAATTGGCTAATGTGGTCTACGAGTACTTGCTCGGACCCCTATTTAAAACAATACAAATTATTTTGTCTCATTTTCTTTAATTTATAGTCCTTCTATCATATTGTATGTGTTTGGTTCAATTAACTAGTATTAATTAAATTTATTTTAATTTAATTTTACATAATGATAATTTAATTTATATATTTATAAATTACATCAAAAGTACGGTTAAACACTCAAAAAATTAAAATATGTTAAAATACTAAATAAAATAAGCAAAGAAGAATAAATTGATTGACTAATGAATAGTAAACATGACATGTAAAATGAGACATAAAGATTATTATTTAATAACTCGTATCGTTTTTGCACAAATTCATTATTTAGCATAATATAAATAAGCTCATTATTTTTCACGTGTTTTCAAAAAAAATAGTAATATTTATTATAATAATTGTTGACACATAATATAATAACTACATATACATAAACTATCAACTGCAGATACAGAATGTGTCAACTATAAATACAGAATCTGAAGGTTATTTTTGGACCAAAATTTATAATATAAGGTAAATCCTGATCCATGGTATAATTTACCGTATAATTTGGAGGGGGTGTAGTTTACCAGTTTACCCCAATGTCGTAGGGGGCACGCGGGTGGGACTTTGGCGCTAAGGGGCGGCCTAAAATGGTCCAGTTTTAACGTGGTATGACGGAATCGTCCCTGCGATGTTAAAGTTGTTTGGCTGGTTTGGGGAGGGAAATGAGGAGGGCAGTGTTGTCAGTACCACATGGGAATGAAAGGGACATGGTATCATGGGTGGTGCCACTGCCCCAGAATGGACTCCATAGAACTGTCCCTTTCTATGCCCAAAGCTGATTGTCCAAAATACTCACATTTTTAAAATTTTTCTTAAAAAAAAAACCCTCCACACAAAAATAAAATTAAATAAAATCTGTACTGATAATGCTACAAACTATATATTAAATCTATTGTATAATGCACATGCTCCCTGTTTTGAGTGAATATTCAAATGTGTTGTAAATTATTCTCTTTAGTTCGTGACGTTCTTGGTGAAACGGATTACTGTATTTAGATCGCGTACAATATAATGAAAATGTGTAGAATAGGAAAGGAGAGAAACAAGGTGTAGTAGTAATATTTTATTGGAATAAGGTTCAAATTGGCCACTGAACGTAACCTGAAAATGCAATTAGGCCACTGAACGAAAAAAAAGTGCAATTAGGCCACTGAACACTTCAAAAATGTGCAATTTCACCTGATAGCAAGTTACCCTCAAGTTTAGCAGGTTATCTGCTTACGTGGCAACTGAGTTGGCATTTTTAATAAATTTTAATAAATTTTAATAATAACTTTTTATTAATTTTTTTTTTAAATAAAAACGACTTTATTTTATTTTTTATTTAATTTTTCCAATTTTTTATAAAATTTATTATTAAAATTAATTATTAACAATTATTTAAAAATTATTAAAAATGTCAACTAAGTTGCCACGTAAGTAGGTAACCTGCTATCCGGTAAAATTGCATACGTTTGGAGAGTTCAGTGGCCTAATTGCACATTTTTTGAGTGTTCAATGGCCTAATTGCACTTTTTTTTCGTTCAGTGGCCTAATTGCATTTTCAGGTTACGTTCAGTGGCCAATTTGAACCTTATTCCTATTTTATTCCAACAATAACCACTATACAAACGATACAACATATATATATATACACTAGTTACCACACGAGCATTGCGCGAATAGTCCAATGCCCAATGTGTATTTTTAAATTAGTGTTTTAGAATTTATCAAAGTATCATGACGTATATCAGTGGCAAAAATGTTGGATTTACTGGTGGAATAGCAGTTTTAGATGGAAGCACATCACTAGATAGTACCCACACATAATTTTTGCAACACAAAACCCAATTAATTGGTGTGATCAATGTTTCTTCATGTTGCCACTTCCGCCATGAGTGAATTATATATTGATTTGATCTAGTCCCATGATGTGCTTTACTACAATTTTAGTGCCTTGGTGCAATGCACCTTAAAAAACATAACTAAATCCTCATTCTCCAAAAAAGACAATGATAATATGCATAGTTTCTCATCTATGTTGGTCACATGGGTGAAGTTTGGAAACAACCACCCGGGATTGAGTCTCACCCGCGACAGTGTAGGAGCAACCTCTCAAAGTGAGGGGGCTATTTGTTTGCCGAAAACAAAGATTTAGCCTTTGTGTTAAGTTGAGTTTTTACGCTCATTTACATATTTTCAAATACTCTATCGGGTCGGGGTGTCCATTATGACTGATACAATAAATATATAATATGCAAATGTAACTATGACAATAATAATGGTGACAATAATTCTACGACCGTTATGACTATTATATATTGAATGCTAATAATGTCCATAATAATATCTTTATAAAGTTTTGAGTATATTACTAAATTATTGAAAATTTGAAATTGGAGTACAAACTTGTATCAAGTTATATAAATTCACTAGCTAGGTTTTAAATAAGCGGCTGGACTTGTCACATGCATATAATTAGACTAATGAACTTAAAATTTATGTAATTAAATCATTAAACAGATAAATTATGAATTATGTGTTATTGAGATACACATAATCGACCACGGGGTCCCAAGTGTAACATCTCTTTTTTTTTTCCCCTTTTTTTTTAAGGATAACATCTCCTTTTAATCATGGGAGAGACATATCAAAATCAATTTAAGCTCTCATGAACTTATTAATTCTATCCCAAACGGATAGTCACAAAATTGTATATAATAGAAAGAAAAAATTGGTCACTATGTAAAAAATTCTATATTTAGAGCAATTTCATCTAAGTTGGTCAGTTGATAACTACAATACTCTAAGTTTGACTCCTCGAGGGACAGATCTA